ACTCTTCCAGCTTATGAGAAGCTTCTCCAGAAAACTAAACCAAAAAGAAAACACTCAAATCCAAGCAGATACAAAACCTTACATTCTCGTAGAAGTTGAACTACTCATCAAGAGGGATTCTTGAGGCAATATCGCATTCCCCTGCAGCACACCTCAACCAAGCTAACTCTCACTAATAGACAGCTTTGACTGAGAAAAATGAAACCATGCATTTGTCAGGACGCTGAATAACCTAATAAGGCTTTGATTAGCCTCACCTGGGGACTTCAGCCAGGTCCTGCCCTGTGCTCAGGAGCCTCATTTAAGCTCATCAGTGCCAGCCTTCTCTTCTCTAGACTGGAGACTAATAGCTCTCTCGCTCTATCCTTGCAGGAGAGATGGTTTATTCCGAGGATCATCTTTGTGTCCCTCCTCTGATGCATTCTGTGTTTTTTCTGTGCAGACAACTCTGCATCTGGATGCAGCCTTCCAGATAAGGCCTCAACAGTGAGGAGTAGTGGGGCAGGATCACCTCCCTTGCCGTACTGGCTGTGCTTCTTTTGATGCAGCCCTCACTATGGTTGCTTTCTAGACTTCAGCATGTTACTGGTTCATGTACAGTTTCCCATCCACCATTATCCCCAGGGCTTTTTTTTTATCAGGGCTGTGCTCAAGTCTTTCATCCCCTAGCTTGTACTGGTAATAGGGGTTGCAAGACCTTGTGCTTGGATTTGTTGAACTTAGGCCCACAGCTCAAGCCTGTCTAGGTCCCTCCTGCTTCTCATTCACTGCAGCTAAGGCCAGGGTTGAGGTCTGACTGTGTCAGGCTTTGGATTAAGGATGATAGGGACTGAAGACCTATGTTTATCCTGGAAATTGTCAAGAGTGGTGCTGCTGCAAGAAACAGTGAAAGGTTTATGGTAGATTACTGGGGATCTGGCAGTCACTGGGCTGTAGTTAGCTTAGATTAGTGTTATACTTAGGTCTTAAGACAGCAGAGCTCCAAGAGTTTGCTTTTCTGATGCACTTAACAGAAGTAGCATGAGAACTATGGAGTGAATGGGTCCAGCTTAGTGTTGTGTCAGAGCTACTTGGCAAGTACTATAACTGCTTTGAATGAGGTTTATGGTTATGGCTTGGTAGAGTACGGACTGAAAGATGGCTTCAGTAATGGTTCCTCTATAGTCTAGAGTGAGATCTGATGCTGGTAGTGTTGGAAAATCATAGAGTCATAGAATGGCCTGGGTTGAAAAGGACCACAATGATCGAGTTTCCACCCCCCTGCTATGTGCAGGGTCACCAACCACCAGATCAGGCTGCCCAGAGCCACATCCAGCCTGGCCTTGAATGCCTGCAGGGATGGGGCATCCACAACCTCCAGTGCAATGTGTTCCAGTGCATGCCAAAAAAAAAATCTAGTTGCTTATGGAAGTTTCTAGGACAAAGTGTATCCTGCAACCGTGGTCAATTTTAAATTGGGATTTGAAGTTTAAACAGTGTTGTTGTGTACTGGAGTCTCATCCCTGTCTTGTTGGGAGATGTCATTTGTTTCCACCGGTGCTGGGAAAGCATTTGTGCGTCCTACAGTATAAACAGTGTTCAACTTTAGTGCTGATTCTGCAAGACCTAAATGAGAGGAAAAGAGCTAATCCTGGGAGAAAAAATGACTTATGATAAGGCAATTATGGATTACTTGGCTATCACTAACCATAGGAAAAATATGTTAAAGAACTTGTACAGGGGCCATGTTTGACACATATTTTGACTGATGACGAGGATGAGTTATAAATCTTTCAGCTTACATTTTCATACAAAATGCACAATAATGCTCAACTGCTTAATCAGAGAGGCGATGATTTTCATTCAAGAAATTATGGAATTACGAATTGTGACCTTTTAAATGTTAAATATATACATGATTTTATTATTTGAGCACGGCAACATTCTTTGTGTTTAATTTGTTATGAATTAATAGCTCAAATTTTAAAAACAAGCCTGTTTGCTTTGTCCTGTTTAAATAACAAAGGCCTCTAATGTCATGTAATTTTTCTGTTTAATGTTCTACCACTTATTTAACTTAGATGCCTAGTTGTATAGCAACCTGTTAATAGTGAATTTGTGTTCAAAGAGAGTATTTGAATGAAGTGTATGAAATTTCAGTATGAAATTGAAAACTTTAAGTTTTTAATAAAGTGATACAAAATACTTAACAGGGATTATGAAATTCAAAGTTCATGATATAATACTCACCTTAGTGTGAAATAAGAAGGTCCACAGAAAGGTTTTGTTTTGTTTTGTTTTGTTTTTTGTTGTTTTTTTTTTGTTTTCCTTTTTTAAAGAAAAGAAGAAAAGATGTCAAAACTGTTACAAGTCTAATGGTAGGAGGCAGCATTCTATTGGATTGACTTGTCACTGTTCAATTGTCTTCAGTACCAGTTAAGATGCAATGCTACTTCATATTCACTAAGTATGCAAAACCAATTACAGTGATTCTTAAGCTGAAAAAATTCTATCTGTTTTAAAAGAAAAAAGTGCAATACGTTCTCCAGGTTGCCAGCTTTCCTTCAGAAAAGAATAAGAAACTCAAAATACAGGAAGCTTGAGATTAAAGTGTCATTTTATTCAGCTTTTCTATTTAGTGCATTTGGAAAGTAATAAGTAGAAATAAGTAATACGATGACTAGAAGAACAAACGCATTCTTTAGGAGCTTATTGGACAAATCAATATGTTATTCTTCAGAAATCGAAGTAATGCTGGGAAAGCTTGAAATTAAAACAAAAGCTAGATTCATATGAATCACCGTTTTAAACTGAGTTAATCCCTCTTGTTTGATTGCCATGTACTGAAAATTTGGATACACATTTTCTTTAACAAAATATGCTGCATTTTATTCATTGATTATAGAACTCTGGGTACATATAAGGAGCAATGCTATTTTCTTAACTTAGATTATTGCATATTCCTATTGAAAAGGAACATGACTTTTGAGATATTTAGCCTCCATTTCAAGTGCAATCATATAAAAGCAGTTTGTTTAAAATATTTTTTTTTAACCGTTGCATCATGTATTTCAGTACTGAATAGAACTGGACAAAGATGTCATAAAATATAAATAAAATTCTGTATTTGACCTCATTCTCTCGAGCAAAATAATACACAGAAGAAATGAAGTATAGACAAGAACAAAGCTCTACAAATAGGAGATGTTCAGTTTCTGTTCAAAGTCATTACAGGTTTGAACAAAAATGGCATGAACTCTGGCTTTGTACTCTTCTCAACCAAGAGGGAACTTGCTATCTTTGTTCCTTAATGTTTTTTGTGAATGTGCAATTTGCTGTTTACATTCCTAAGCCTGCTTTGTGCTAAATCTGATAGAAAAGGCTTCCGCAAAACAGCTGAAAGAGACAGAGGGAAGTTTGTGTGATTCTCATAAGCACAGGAACAGTGAATTTCTAGAAAAATAACTTTGAGAAACAATGTTTTAACTAAGGAGATATTATCAGGTTTCAGGAAGAAACTCCCTTTCTCTTTCTTTCCAGGTGGATATTGAAACTATTGCCAAATGAAAATTCTTCTTCCCCATGTTAGTCCTTTCCTAATACTTTCCAGTCCTCAGGGAGGTCTTGAGGTTCTCAAACAATTTTTGTGCAGTATCAATGCCCACTCAGCTAATTTATAGACCTTTCAGACAAATCTGCATATCCTGACTTTTCCTTTCAGAGAACAAGGTCTCCTTCCCTGTTTGCTGAGGAAAGTCTGTGTTTTCCACTGTCTAAAATAACCACATTCCCAAAGAAAAGAGAATTTTGTTTTTTTTGAAGTACAAATTTCAGTCTTTTTTTTTTTTTTTAAAGGTTATTCAGCTACATAAATGCTCCTTAATGTGGACATTCTATCAACTAATTTGTTTTCACAAAGAATGTACCATTTCTACTTTATGTAAGCTTTTGAAAGCAATGTTATAAGAACAAAAGTTACATTTCATAAAGAGCGCTTAGTGTGTTCTTATGTTTGGGATCTGTCTTCGATTAATTTTTCTCTCACTTCTTTCATCCCTCAAGAATGTATGTATGTAATAGTTTGTTAACTTGCCAGCTTTGCCTGAAGCATGGACAGGACAGTTCAAGGCAATTCCCAAACATTATATCCTCTCTTCCTAGAGAAAGGTTTTTGCTAATGTGCTCTAAAAGTGACTTTGTTCTTTTCCAAAATCTAGAATTCAAGTTGCTGGTCAAGTTTGGTGGTCAAAGACCAAACCACCTCAATTTAGTTGATGTTCCTGATGGATTCTTCAGGACTTCCCAATCTGTATAGAATCATGGAATTGCTTTATTTGGAAAGGATCTTTAAAGGTCACCTTGTCCAACTTCCCTGCAATGAACAGGGACACCTACAGTTAATCAGGCTGCTCAGAGCCCCATCGAGCCTGACCTTGAATGTTTCCAAGGATGGGACATCCACCAGCTCTCTGAACAGCCTGTTCCAGAGCCTCACCTCACATCATAAAAAATATTCTTCCTTATACCCAGTCTAAATCAACCTTCTTTTAGTATGAAACCATTTCCCCTTGCCTTGTCACAACAGACCCTGCTAATGAGTCTGTTCCTTTCTTTATTATAGCCACCTGTTAGATACCTGAAAGACTGCTATCAGGTCTCCTAGGAGCCTTTTCTAGTCTGAAGAGCCCCAGCTCTCTCAATCTGTCGTTGGAGAGAATATGTTCCAGCCCTTGGCTTACTTTTATGGCACCCCTCTGGACATATTGCAGCAGGACCACGTCTCTCCGGTACTTAGAACTCCGCATTACTCTAACTGAAGTCTCACCAGAGCAGAGTGAAGGGGCAGGGTCACCTCCCTTCAGCTGCTGGCCATGCTTCTTTTGATGTAGCCCAGGATAGGGTTGGCTTTCTAGGCTGAATAATGACATGACATTTAAAAGAGTCAGGAAGTGTTACATTCCCGCTCATGATGGAATTTAACATCTATTTGATTCCATGAAATTAGACTTAGGACCAGGAAAGACGTAGAAAAGCAAGTTTATTTCAAAACAATACAAAGGTTGCACTACAAAGAATATATCACAACTTTTGGAGAAAAACAAATGACAGAAAAATACACATTATCTGTCAGATACTTTGGAATGTCTCTGTGCTTTTACATGGTTAGCAGAACTAAGAATTGAAAATAGTGAATAATTTTTGCAATGGCTAGAATTATGCCCTGGTTCTTGGAAGGGCTGCACCCCTGGGCATGGTCTCCCTGAGTAATAACTACTACTTACTGTAGGAAAAGGGAACAACTCCCCCCATTCCCAGGTGGTATGAGCAACATATCATGCATATTTGCTGTGATCCCTTAACCTTGGCAGCTATTTCAATAGAAAGATCAAATTTTAATTTCTCTGCTAATGAAATTCAGTTTGCCTGGAGATTTAAGGCTTCGTTTACCAATGAAAAAATGCATTCTTCTACTGCCTTTTCAGTGTAAACTGTGTGTGACAGGTAATTTTTTTAGCACTTCTGCAAGCAAGTTCATTTCATGACTTAATTTTTCTATATTATATACATATGAGGGCTAATTATTATATAATAATTGTATGATAATTTATGCAATTTTCTGTCAGCTTTTTATAACAACCACATGATCATTAATGAGAAAATGACAGAGATAATGATATGCTTGTATCAGGTGTGTCTGAATCACAGCTAGTCTCATTTGAAACATATCACCATAAGAACTTCATCTTCTGCTACAAGAGATCACAATTCCGTGTATGTCAGATTCCTGGCTCTTGAAAAACATGCCCTCTGAATTCATTCTATCCTTCTTAGTCTCCTCTGCTTTCTTGAAGCTATCAGCTTTTAAAGCATTTCCAAATCCTAGATGTAAAGAAATGTGAAGAGAAGAATCTTTCCAATAGTCACAGGGTAAGAAAAAAGCAGAATTCCCTCATGCAGCTGGACTTTCTGCTTCTCCCCTTCTGGCTCTGAGAACAATCCAGGCTCTTGAAACGGTAAGGAGAAAGCATGGCTTGACCACAGATGGTCAAGAGAAAGCTATTAAGGAATAAAAGATGCTCTTTCCTGAATCTCTGGAAGACTGATGGGAACATTTCCAACTGAAACACACAGATTCATGGAAACACCATGAAAAAACAGTCTTACGTGAGCACAAGATATCATTACCTTTGTTATCAAACTATCTGATATTATACATGAGTAAAACATAACTCTATATAATTCTCTATATCTTAGTCTTTTTAAAGACTTAATTTAAAAGACTTCAATATGTAAACAAACAAAAAAACTAAGTTTAAAAGAACAAGGCAATTCTTGAGTGCCAAAAAATTTACTGTTTTGTATACTTTTACACCTGTTAGTAAATAAAAAAAAACAACACTGCATTTATTCTAAATCTGACTTTAAAAAAAGTCAGAGAAACTTAAGCCTGAAACAATCAAAAGCCAGCTGTAAACAATCTGAGTGATAATAAACTTCTACTTCTTATGCAAACACACAGGAATGATCCATAGCTGGGGACAATTTAGTCCTCCTTTCTGACTGAATCACACAGTGATACTTTGAGTATGTGCTGATCCATGCTTTACATGGAAAGAAGACTGAAAATATAAGACTCTCAGCTAACTTGAAGCAGCAAAAGTCAATCCGAATTATTTGCCTTTAACAAGGGTCTTTCATACTTGAATTGCATGGAAAAAATTTTCAAATAAGCAACACCATTATTTGTTGTGGCTTCACATCAGAGACTGCAATGAAGTGTTTATTTTTAGTCTGTGAAATATAGACTTCTTCTACTAAACACAGAATTACACACTGATAAAAACTTGGAATAAAATAATCAAAAGGGCCATACTCATTGAAGCCAGAAAATGAAATAAAACAAAGTCTGAGGAATTCTTAAACTGCGCAGTATTTAAGAGCTGAAAGGACCATTAAATCATCACCAACCTATGGACGTAAGAGACCATTAGTTTTTCTCTAGATACGTGTCTCTACAAATTAAAGATTCATAAAATGGCTCAATTCTCAGAGGATTAAGCTGTATCTCCCAAGCAAAGACAGTGGTTTAGCTCCCAGCAGTGACAACACTAAACTATTAGCAAGCAAACCATAACTGAAGCTACTGAAGGAATACAAAGTTAAAAAACATTCTTGCCAGTGGAACCAGAGAAAACTTGTTTCCACTTTCAAAGATAAGGATTAGTGTCAGCCTAAGAAAAAGAACGAAACATTTGTGATTTGGCAGTAAAAAAAAAAATTGCTTCACCTCAGAACTACTCTGATGTCTAATGTTTTGTCTCTGAAAAAAATGTAATATATGTTGTTAAATACTGGTCTTTGTCTTTGTATTATGAACTATGCAGGCACTGCCAGCTTTCCTCAGCATAACTGAAGTGAAAAAACTGGTAATGCTGAGCTGCAACTACTAAGAGTGTGCTGCATATAATGTAATTATTATTTTCCCCCTAGAATGGCAGAAAGTCATTCAGTGGCTTGATTATTCATAGGCTAGTTTCTCTCTGCCTCTCACCTTCCACTTTTAAGTACAACAGGAATGTCACCTAAACTTTTCTTCTAATAGATATGATTAGTCCTACATTGTAGTACTATAAAAGTAACTATAACAGTGCTATAACAAAGAAACCTATGGAAGAGCAGGGGAAAAACAGGAAATTATATAACAACCAGTTTAACAGGAGTTTCTCATTTAAAAGAAAATTGTCATGGAATGAATAATCAAGACACTAAATGACTGAAGTAATAGCCATCATAGATGTGCTGAAAATAAATTGGTTTAGATCATACAGAGAGGGTAGCAAACTTTGGGTGTTAGGTAAGGATAACAGATGGCACACATCCTTCTTTTGTGTATATACATATATATTTCTTGTACTCACGTACAGCTTGCATAAGCAAGTCTGAGATATCTAGCCTAGAGAAAATGAGCATACAGGTGATATAAATGCTATTGAAAAACTATTTAGAAGTAGCTGTTGTTAATTCACTGCCACCATGGAGGCAGTATTAATGTGAGATTTGCAGGAGTCTGTCCTGAGTCTGATACTATTTCATGTACTAGTTATTAATTGAATGTTGTAATTAAGAGGAAGCTTTTTCAACTGCTGATTACACCAACCTATGAGAAACTGCAAGCATTTTAGACAAGAAGGCTATACTTCAAAGGGACCTTGACAAATGGGAAATAAATCTGAAGAAAAGAGGATGCAATTCAGTAAGGATATGTACAAGACTACATGCAAAGCAATGAACACATGTACAGCTTGAGGAATGTTTACTTGGCAGTTCTGAAACTACAGAGATCAAGAGCTGTACAAGAATCAACAATATCAATTCCACTGGAAAAAGCATTCATGACTATCATCCAAAAGATTGTTAAGAGAATTTTACTTCTTCAACACTAGGACCTTAGCTGCACTAATGCATTTAATTTAGGCACCATGCTTTTAAAAATGTTTGGAGCAACTCCAGGGAGTCTAGAACAGAGCAACAGGCATGGCTGAAGATCTATTAAATATCATCTACGGGGAAGGACTGAAAGTACTGAGATTGTTCAGGCTGGAGAAAAGATGGGAAAAGTGTTAACAGTGTTCACATTTTGAAGAGCTCTCCCCTTTACTGCTTCAAAGAGAAAGGCAGTCATCTATTCTCTCTGTGCTGAGTAAAAGACCTAAATGGTAGCAAAAGGCAGAACAACGTTCTGAGAACAAGCATAACCAGTCCTTGGAGACCTGTGATTGAAGACGTTGTATAACCTCCAGTTCTGGAAGATTTTAAGAACTACCTGCAATAATAGAGATATCATTCTCTGTGCCTTGAAAAGAACAGATAGATTGCAGGTCACTTCAGAGCCCTATATTCTACATTTCTAGGGCAAGTGTATCAATCTTTTCTCTCCACAGCTCACTTGATTACAGCTAATCACTGCAACTACTAGAACTAGCCAGTAGAATTAATCTAATGGACTAGTCTGAGTTACTCAAGAGTGATCAGACCGTAAAATACTTCAGGTTCAGGCAGTGCAAGCAAAAGGTGAGAACTAAGACTGAGGCTATTCAAAAATGCACAGTAACACAAAGTATGCTAAGAAGCATAGTAAGAAGCAAAAATGGTTTTGTACCCATTCACTGGTAGCTGGATTTATCTATGTGGACTGCTTTCCAGCTTTATCCAATAATGCAGAGGAATACTGGGCTGTAGTGGGAAATGGAGACAAAAAACCATTTGGAAGAGAAGGTGATTTAATAAGCAGAATGTGAAAGTTTCAGACAGTTGGTGTAGTCTCAAAATTATCTTTTAATCCAGTTGGGATCTGCAAATCTGAGTAAGAGGAATGATAGAGACCAGACACATGAAAAAGTAAAATGATTGAATACAGAGGTAGAATTCTGATTATGGAGAATGATGGAAAACTAACATAACTGATAGGAATCTGAGTATCTAAAATCTTAGGGAAAGACTGCTAATGGAAAGGCTGTAGGCAAGAAACAGAATTGGTAAACTCACAAAAATGCAGAGAGAAACTGAGGGCAATCAAAACATGAAAAAGATGCAAGTAATAAAATATCTAAACTTCAGGAGGAAACCAATGAACATTGACACTATTATTTTTCAACACAATGGTTTTGTATATGGTTTTGTATATGGTTATTTTCCAACACAATGGTTTTGCAATAGGGCTTCCATCTCTCTGATCTATGGATATGACTGGTACCTCTGCTTCAGATGTGGTCAGGTTGCCATGTCCTTGTTTTACACAGCTCAAAAACAAAGGCAAAATACATGGGTCTTCTACTTCCTGAAGCAAAAGAGGGCTTGCCATTATTCTTTTGCAGTCTCAAGAAGTAAGATCTGCCTTTAAGGTACCTAGTTGAACAGAAAAAGGACACAGACTATAAAAAAAGAAGCCAGTTAAAAAAAAAAAAAAAAAAAGACACAAGCACAGAAAGAGGAGGCAATACTACATTAAGCACAAACTGCATTCCAAAAAACAGAGAAAACATTAGAGAAAACTGGAATGTAGAAGAGAGTATCAAGGATAATTCTTAGATTTCTGGTTTCAGAAGCAAAGTTAGGAGCTGAGTTACTACTAAGAACACTGAAATCAAAAACAGGGAAAATAGAAACTTTTGGCAAGAACCTCAAATGATGTTATGCCTTTGCTCAGGAGATAACAGAATCCAGACAGGCATGGAAGTGGGAATTAAAAATGCAGATTTGCTAATATGTACATAGAAACAATGGCTAAAATAGATATCAATTATGAGTTGTGACAAGATAAGGATGTATATAAAGACTATCATGTCTTCATTGAAGAGATACGGAAAGTAGAATGTAAAGGTAGCCAAAAATGAAAACTGAACAGGTTGAAAAGCATGTTCAGTAAATTCCTGGTTTCCAGCTCAACAAAAAGGGCAGAAATGGGAGAACTGTGATTAGACTTACGTGCTGAATATATGAATTACTTACCAGATTTTTTCTTTTTAATGATAAACATCATTTTAATTACAAGCATCTGTTATTGTTTTGCATACTATTTAAGGAGGAATATCCTGTGCAAAATCAGGTGCTGTTTTATTCTGTATAATCAAACCAACATGATATTTAATTAGCCATTTTAAGTTCATTTTACTCCAATAAATTTGAAATACTGTTCCAAAAGTAATGCCTCCTATTTATTTCCATGGAACTATAAGAGATACAAAGATAATAACATAATAATAAGCATATTAACACTATTTGTGGGGGCAAATTTTCAGCAAAACACTATTTTTCAGCCTTGTCACCACCATTAGCTATGCATTTTTGTCAGAGACAAACAAAAGCCTACACACCATAATGTAAAAATCTGTCAACTTCAGCCTTGTATTGGTTCAGTATGTTCTGACAAACTTGCATGTTTTTTCTATTCCTGCATGAGCTTTCATGGGACCCACTTGGCTCAAACTTTGCAATATTCCACCATCATTTCCAATTAATTGAAGGTGATATTAAGCTTTTTGCAGTTTGCATGGATGAACTGATCAAGCTGCTCTCACTTCTGTAGTGTGCCAGCTGTGCATGGCCATCTGGAATGTGATGTGTCTTTCACATTGTGATCATCACTGCTGAAATGCACCACTTACTGCCTAAATGTGCTCACATCCACTGTTTGGTCTCCATAAAAATTCAGCAAGCATTGGTGAAGGTCAGTGGGTGCCATTTCTTCCAATGGAGGAATTCAAGGACACACATTTGCTTCATATTTCCATGTCAGATGCCATTTTGTCCAACTGCCCCTCTGCTTCATCTGTGACACAGCAACATGCAATGGAACGCTGGTGGGAAAGTTCAGACTCTACTGCCATACCACCAATATCCACCTCTGCCATCATGAGATATTAAAATAGCAGGCATTACCTTTGGACCACATTTGTAAATTGACTTATAAAGTATCATTATAAATCACATGTGAACTTTGATGGAATGGTGCCTTTATGAGAAATTAAAGGTAAAGTTTTATTTTTTTTCTGTGCTAATACCAAAATTTGATTGCACTACTGCACCAATGCAACACCTTAACAAAGGCAAAGTCGCCTAATTACTCAGCGCCCGTAACTGCAGAAATAAACTGCACATTTGTTTGAGAGCAGAATTTCATGAGAAAATGAGATTTCCCACCTTATCTGATTCCAGATCTTTTCATTGCAAAATCGCAATGAAGTTAAACATTCACACTGCTTCATTTACCTCTCAGATACCTTCAGTGTAACTGCAGCAAGGCTCCACAACAGATGGATTAGAAGCAAACAAAAACAAGGCTGCCCAACAGCCCGCTTGCAATAGAAATTTGAGGTATTTCTGAAGTTAAATGGAACTCTTTTGCTGGCAGGAATACTGATTTTTATTCAACAGACCACACTGGAAGCTTGGAAAGAGACGAATATTAATAATGCAAACAAATAAATTATTCCAATATGATAAGAAATGAGTAAAATAATATGCTTACATATTCTGAAAACACACATATAAGAACCTACCAGAAATCTATGAATTAAAATCTCTGAAATGACCTAATGATACAAATGATACAAATCAACAGAAACATTTTAAAGAATACATTAGTCTTCTAAGAAAAGATGGAGACCACAAGTAATCCAAACAAATAAAAAACTATTAATCATAGGATACAATAGGGATATACAGCAGAACCAAGCTCTCGTCATTATTCTTTCATCATTATTCTTAATTAAAGCATATTGTATAACTGAAAAAATAACACAAACAGAAAACAGTGTAACTAAAATGCATGCAAAGATGCAGTAACCATAGAAGGGAAACAATGACAATTTGAAAAGTTAAATAGTGCTGCACTTAGTTGCAGGAAAAAATTAGATCCAATAACCAGTGTTTTCAAATGCTTCAGAAAAAAAAACAGACTTAGTGACAAGTGCTGTTACTCTGCCATCGTGTGGCGAGGTACCTGCAGCTTCTAAACTGCTTCCTTGGCAAGAACCTGCTTTCAAGAATACAAGACTTTGTAAATATTATTGTTCTGAAGACAGGGGAAAACAAAACAAAACAAAAAACCAGTAGAGTTTTAGCTGTAGTTCAGGAGATAGTGCTGGAGAAACTTTAATCCTAATGAAATCACTATCAAAACTTTGCTGCAGAGGGCGATGACTTCTCTGCCTGAAAAGGCAATTTGAATCTATGGCTTTTGCATCCTTATTTTCTGGCAGTTAAACAAAATAAGCTTATATCATGCTTCTTCGTGTTCTAAAAATAAAGCACATTATCAAGACTGAACACATCAGTACACAACCTGAGATAAGAGGGTGTGTTGATAGGAACTTCCTATAAACTTCAACCTAATTAAAACAAAGAATTATTCATTCAAAAGTAAGTCATCTAATATTGCCCATTAACACCAGATCATAGGACTGTGCTACTTTTTAGTTTCAACCTCGCTCCAACTCTCTCCATTACTAATAAAACTAAGACTGAAGTTTCATAAAAGGTTCCTAAACTGAAAACATCTTCACATAGACAAAAGGAGATTTATCATTCAGATTAGTGCATTGATTTTCTGTTATCAGCCTACAGGTAAAAACTGTAGCAAACTGTGAAAGAAGACTTCTCCATTTCAGAAATTTTAGCTTTGGGGGAATTGTCACCCACAATTAAGTGACAAAGCAGAAAGGAAAAAATAATCCATTTTCTACTAAAATTTAGAATGATAACTGCAGCTCAAAAAAGTCAGTGAGGGTAAAGGACATTCAGAAGCACATGCAAAAATCTTTACTGAGAAAGGGCTGAATGTTACATGCTTATGTGTTCCCCTGAACTACAGATACTAACTTCAAGGGCTGTGTCAAGGTCTGAACTAACAAGGAAATCTTTTCATCTCAAAGAACTGAAGCTCTGAGAAAAGCCAATAGAAATCTACACTGCCAAATAAGCATGTACTGACATTCATAGTTACACTATCCAACTATTTAGGGAAAAAAAGATTTCCAAAATAGCTAGGCCTCACGATTTGCTTTCAAAGCGCTAAAATCTGGCATGGAAGATACACTGATCTCAGGATATCAAGTATCTTGCATGACTCATTTCTAAGCTTACTAAAGGAGCTGATAATTGACGTTAGACATTTTGTGGCATTTCTTTTCCTAAACAGTATCACTAAATTTTGTCTGTGATTTGTCACATAAACTACACAAGCTTCAACTTGTATGAAAAAGTTTGTTTGCTCAGAACACCCAACGCACCAGAAGCTAAATTAGATTAGCCTATGAAGAGAAAATAATTCACAAACAACTTCTGCTAGAATCCCACTGCATATTTAGACCTCTGTAAATTGCCCAATCTAAAATCCATTTTCTATTTCACGCCTTCAAGTGACACCTAGAGGTTATCCCCTGAATGGGACAGATTTTACCTTTCTGTTGTCAGTTAGGTACTGACAAGAGCCACAATCCATTCTTCATCATTTCAAAATGCCCGCAATATTTTCAAATACACATGATATCTGCAAACTTTCTTAATGTGGACTACAATACAACATCATTGTGCATGTCCCTTTCTACTTCTCATACAAAAGTAATGGAAAACTTTTGATACACAAGCTACTTCACTTCAAAGGTGAATACTGTGAATACAGACTTTTCAATTCATTGAAGAATAAAATTCCATGTTCCCATGTAACCTTTCTTTTTCAGGAGTCTTGTTTTTCCCCACACAGCTGAATAGTATTTTTGGTTATGTTTTTGGGGAGGATGCACTGTGTTTTGAATATGCATACTTTTTTTTTAGTCACCCAGAGGTCATCCAAGTACAGACAAAATGCATCCCATGATTTTCTGGGCTGACAAAGTTCCCAGCCGGACTTCTTAGACGCTTCCCCTGACTTACATTGCTTTTGCAGTAACAAGTGAAGCTTGGATTTTTGTGACATTGACTTTGTTACACATCATAACATTCTGAGCTGTAGAGCAAATGTCATTTGTAACTTAAAGAACTGCCTGATAACAGTAAATCATGTTGCATATTATGAAAAGCACATGGAAATATCTACACTTAAAGTAGCTTTCTATCCGGAATATTCTTAATGGCAGAATAGTGATTTTTAGCCATCCAAGGATGAAGGTACCAAATTTGACATAAATTCTCTCTCTCATACTCTTGGTTTTATCACAGAATACACTACATCTATTCCATACGACTACCAACAAAAGCTGAAGTGTTTTTTTCCGCTTATTCCCCAAAAACATCAAACTAAAGCCAGCTGAAGAGATGGGGTGAAATTCCCCTCCAACATGGAAAACTGTCCTAACAAAGACTTGTTTATAGAGCTCAGGCTGCAGAAATACTTAGAGTCCTTTATAAGTGTAATAGCTACAGAACTCTTCAAGGTGCTTTTATGAAAGAAGTATTCCTGGAAACTTGATGTCTGATGCCAGCTTTATTTATAAGGTCCTGTAGCCCATTATTGCTGCTGACCTGTGCCAAATCTTTGACAATATCAAAGCCGGCTTCAATGTCAATGAGTAAAAGTGAGTGCTGTTGAATTTGAAGTGTAAATGAGCATCCTAACATATGTCACTCTCTATGCCAGGCCCAGCTTTCATCCAAGCCATGAGACCTTGCACAATGTTGCCTTTCAACAGCCATAAAAAGTAAGACATTTTTCAGCCTTGCTGTAATATCTACATGTCAACCTAAGTCCCAATACCTATAAATTACAACCCTGTATATCCTGAAAGTGAATTTATACGGTGGGCACCAATTCTTACCTGTGAGAATCTGGTGATTCTCATTTAATCCCAGTGCTTAACAGGAAGCATAATGTCATGAGTGACAGCACTCTTCAGAGTTCACCATAAAGGGTTAATCACTTTCATCACTACTTATTTCAGTATGTCTCACTTTCCTCAAGTCTGTTGGCTTGCCAAATCCAGCAATATATTCTATGTTTTTTTCTGTCTCAACTAATTAGATTAATTTTAATCATAACCTAGAAGCTTCAATACAGTGAAGAGAACTCCATCTATGAGCCTTTCTCAGAGAGCCCACTTCCTAAATCACTGCTATGAAGGTACAGCAGTACCATTTGCTTTTCAGTTCCTTCCATCTAGACAATACACAAACCGTGTCATCAATAAAACTAAATGACTTTTAGCTTCCAAAAACCTTGCCTCAAATTCTCCTTTCTTCAGTTGTTACAATATCTGCACAGGATACAGAACTACTTCTTCAGCTTTTGCTCTGCCTAATCTAATTCTAGGCTCTTCCCTCATCTGCAATGAAACTATTGCAATCCACTACTGGGGGTACTAGCATACGCCATGAAACCTTGTCACTGCAGTCTCTCCCTCACAGTGTGGCCATGGAAAGGCAAAGCAGTGCTTATGCATTTTTATACCAGATAAATGTGAAACTTCACAAGCAATCTCTAAGGTTAGAGTTCAGTATGGTACACAGAAGGCTTTTGGGACTCTTCACTACTCACTGACCCACAGTGGGCTCTTAAAGCCCAACAAAACTTATAAACCTGAAAGAATAGTGCTTAAGTCATCTATCCCCACCAGCTCCAGTTGATATACAACTCTGCAGACTTTTGGAGTGAAGATGAATGCTTTTCAACCCATGTTAGTTTAGTGTTAATACTGTATGTCTAACACCAAATTTACTCTTAGAAGAACTACATTCTAATTCTCTGTAATTAACAATAGCCATATTAAGAAGTACTGCATGAAAATACAAAGCATGAGGAAAAAAATATATAGAAACTCTATAGAAACTGTGAATTTGGGAGTAATTCTAATTACTTTAATTCTAATTGGCTTACAAATTCTGTTTATTCCAAATGCAGTAGTTGTGATACTGCCTCATTCCCTACCTATCACTTAGGTGCACGCATGCATTTCAGACTGCGGAGGGCAAGCGACTACTGGAAAAAGAAAGCATCTGCCACTGGTACACATATTAGTAAGCAATTTCAGGAGCTACATTCTTCTGACAGATTGCTAGGGACGGCTCCCTTGGGAAGTGCGAATGTCATGATTGCAGAATCCTTCACGTTACCTCACCTCTAGGCTGCACCCAGGGCTCACAGCCACCGCGCGGCGCCGCCAGGAGTCCCGCTGGCGGGCAGCTCCCACCACCTCAGGGCGCCAAGGGCCGCGGGAGCCACCAGCACCACCGAGACCGGCAAATCACCACCCTACACGCGCACAAACACCCGCCAGGCCGCCTGCCCCCGCTGCGCAGGCCACCGCCTCCACGCGGCGACAGCACTTCGCGCACGCGCTCCTTGCCGGCAGGAAGACCCACGAGCGTTCTGCGCGAGCGAAACCCAGCGCTCTCCTTCCTCCACGCGCATGCGCCAGACGCGCGGTTTCCCTGGCAGCGGGGGTTGTTTTCGGCTAAACCACCTGCGCGGCGCTGCGGAGGGGGGAAGCGTTGCGTAAGGGAGAGCCCACTGGCGGGGGAGACGGTGAGGTGCCACCGAGGCGGACGGGCCCGATGTGAGTGATGTCTTCATGCCGCGGGCGGGCGGGCGGGAAAGCGGGGCCGCGGCAAGCAGCGGACGGCTGGGGTCCGGAGGTGGGAAGATCGGGATCCGCCTCCAGCCCTCTGCTGTCTTTCTCCGCTCCCCTTGGCTGTCGGGGGTCGGCGGTGGATGCGGAGCGCGCTGTGACGCAGCCGTTGGTGCGCGCGGGCGGTGCTCGGCACGGGTGGCGGCGTGGAGCGGACGGGCGGGCCTCTGCGCGCGGGGGAACCCATCGATGGTGTCTGAGCTTCCTACAGGCTGAGCAGCCCTAGGTTCAGCCCCTCGGTTAGCCTTGTGTGTGCCGCTGGCAGCGTTGGTTTGTGTCCCTCTCGCTGCCGCCGCTGCCCCGTGAAAAGGGAAACTGCGCTCTGGAAACGCTCACAGTAGTCTGCTGATGGGAATTACCATTTGTAATCGTGATTAATAAGGCAGAGACTTGAAATGAAGTAAGCAATGATAGAAATCTGTGCTTCCGCAGTGGGAGCTGAAATCCATAGTTTTGCCAGCAAGACAGCAGCTTTTCTTTCAGCCTTCTCAGGCCCCAAGCGTAATGAGAGAAAAAAAAATTTCTCAGTTACTGTGAGGCTTTTTGATGTGCTAATGCCAGAAAGTCAGAGAGCATTTTGTCCCATCCCTGGAGGTGCTCAAGGCCAGGTTGGATGGGGCCCTGGGCAGCCTGAGCATGTGGGGGCAGCCCTGCCCATGGCACGGGGTTGGGACTGGGTGGGCTTTAAGGGCCCTTCAGACCCAACCATCTTGTGGTTCTGTGATCGACTTCTAAAAATATCCTCTCAAAGCAGTGTGAACATAAGGTATTTGCAGGCATGTCTGCGCAGCTCTCATAGGCTGTTATGATAGGCAAGTTTATAGATACTTGCATGGCATCAATAAAGTTGGCTGTCAGCTTTCTTGACTTAAATACTAAATTTTTGTGAATAATGCCCCTGCTTTGTAAACTCATATTTATCATTAGTAAAAATGAACAGATTTGACTCATTATTATTTTCCTGTATAATTCTGCATTAAAGCTTTTACATGAGTCTAGAAGTAGTTGTCTGTAGAGATACCTGAGTGAGATCTTGGTAAAATCCAAGATGATCCGCTGACCTCACCTAAAGGATGAGACGTAAACAAAGAGCTGCTGGAAGATTTCTGAATTTCCATAATGTAGTACAATTTATACAAAATGTAATGTGTTATAATATAGATTGCTTTTGAGTTTGTTATTCATTTATTAATAAAAGCACAGGGTAAAGTGACATGTTTTGTGTTGAGAATAGCTGGATTGTAGTTGCAGAATATAGTGATTCACTGTACTGCAAATGTGAAAAAAACAGAAATTGATGCAGAATCAGTTAGAAGTAAAGGTGAAATATTAGAGAAGAGCAAGCTGATTTTTTTCTGGAAGGTCTCCATTGGTTCTTGAAAGATTTTATGATTTATTTTTCCTGGTTATTCCTGATGGCTGGAATATACTTCTGTTCCCAAATCTGCATTTTTATTGTTCCTGGATTGCCTTACATTAATTAACATGGAAAAGATTAAGTCTTGTCAGGCAAAAGTAACATTTCACCAGATTAATCTCAATGAGTTTATTTTAGGTTGAGTATCAGGAGGCAGTTCTTTACTATGAGTGGTGAGGTGCTGGAACAGGCTGCCCAGAGAGGTTGTGGATGCCCCATCCCTGGAGGTGTTCAAGGCCAGGTTGGATGGGGCCCTGGGCAACCTGGTCTAGTATTAAATGTGGAGGTTGGTGGCCCTGCCTGTAGCAGGGGGGTTGGAGATTCGTGATCCTTGAGGTCCCTTCCAACCTGGGCCATTCTGATGGCTTGTGGTTGTTGATCTCTAATGTAAGGTTAAGTCTCTCCTATTTTAAGATGATGTTATATAAAGTAAACAGTTCTTATCCCTGCTGATTAATGATCTATATTTATACCAGTCTAATAATTGCTTTAAGTGTGTCAGATGTCATGTCATTCTGAACTAGAAATGTCTACAAAAGAAAAGCACTGTCATTATAGGCTTTAATCTCAATTTTATTGAGCTAAGATGGTAGATACTTTTTTTCTGAATGCTCAGAGGTAAATGGAAAATGATGCAGTCCCTGGTGGATTTGGCAAATGTATGCATTTCACAGAGACTACTGGTCACGTAAGATGAGCCTGGCCTTGGGAAAGGTATTTTTTCCATTAAGAGGAAAAGTATCTGCAAAATTAATTTACCTGCAGGTTGTTTTTTTTTGTTGTTGTTACGTGACTCACTTATCCTTTGGCTATAAAATATATCCGTACTTGAAGTAGGTTTGTACTTTACTTACTGCACTGCTTTGCTCTATGTCATCTTGTATTTTTTGTTCTTGTGAAGGACGCTTTATCATTTCATTTGATTTTATAATTATATTTTTGGAGAGGTGGGTGAAATCAATAAACGAATCGTAAGAGAATATTACAAATTCCTGCCACTCACAGTAAATGATTCCAGTGTTAGCATGCAAAGTTTTGTCACTGTATTCTTTTCTACTCCTTCAAATTATGAGTATTTCCTAGTTTATGATGACCTATACTTTTAAAATGGCCATTTTGTATAACAGTACACATTTCAAAGGTAAACGTACTTTCAGTAGTGTTTTCTTCTTTCATTCCCTGAAAGAATAAGGCATTTGTGTTACTTCACAACAGTCACTGTTTAATTGTACTGATGAAGCTTTGCTCTACAAGTAGAAAGATTTTTAGTAAGGGAAAATATTTGTACCCTGGGTGAAAGGATGAAACATATTACAGAATGGATCATTTCCTGTGGAGTCATTTTGGTCATCCTTGGGCATTTCAGATGTTCTTATGTTGTCGGATGGTTAGTACACAAAACTAACAACATTTGCCAACTGACTAAGCAGCACTTATTTAACCTCAAACCAACCCATACACTTTGCCTTTTTTTTTTGTTTGTTTGTTTGTTTCTTTGCTCGTTTCTTAATTTGGTTTGGTTTTGTCAGTTAACAGACCAAGCTACTGTAAGTAACTGAAAGCTTGTACCAGAAGGGGCTAAGGAAGAAGTAAATAACACTGCAAGAGACAGGAAGAACCTGAGGCTACCGTAGTGCAGATGCTCAGACACATAATCTGCACCAACTCCTAATCTGTATACAAGTATTGTTCAAGAGAGTGCTAGATGGTTTGGATTGAAGCTGTTCCAGGGAGAATTAATCAGTATAGTAAAATTTACCAGTGCATCTTAATTTACTAGAACTGTTGTATTCTGGGTCCTGTGAGTCCTACATAACATAGGCTTTCTTATGTAGGAAGAACTTGGAGTTCTTGCCTGACGTGCTATTGGAAAGGCAGGTAGGGATGATAGTGTATTGCATAGAAGGCCAAGGGAAGCACAGTGCATTCATAGGTCATAGGAGGGTAGGTTTCATTAGTTCCGCTGTTTACAAACTAGCTTTTTCTTTTCTTTTTTTAATTATACAACTGTTATGATTACAAGGAAGCAAAATTGCTTCTGACACGTTCTTTGCAATACCAAGCAAAATATTCACAGGTAGACCAGTAATCTCAGGAGAGCTGAACTCACCTAACTACTGAAGGGGCTCTCTGGCTATGCAGCACTCCTCTTCAGGAAAAAGCCTACGCCTAACAGATATTCTCCCTACAGTGGCTGGCCTTTACATGAGTCCAGCCCAGCTCTACCCTGGGTCCAGCCCTTCTGGTCAGGTGGGGAACATAGGTGCAAACAATGTAGTTGTGCCCACTGGGCCAGCCACCCCTTCACCAGGTGCTCCATCAACAATTCAAGCCCTGACCTAGCAGTTCCCCTACAACAACATTCTCATTTTTCTTGATGAGGTGATAAATGTGTAATATTTTTATTTGCCTTCCAGCTTTGTTTGTATTGCACTTTCAAGCTTTTCTCCACAGCTAGGAGGGTGTAACATTTTTTCTTTACAGAAAAGTTTCATGTAATTGCTTGTCTACTTCATACAAATACTTAAACATAACATGTAAACAGAAATATTTATAGAACTGCACTAAAGTTAGATTTGCTAACAACTGTGAATCTTTTTCATTGTAGGCTATCGGTTGGCTAAAATGGGACTTCTTTAAGATGCTATCAGATAGGAATCTGATTAGGGAAGTTTCAGTATAAATGACTTCATATAAATGAAGTGTACAGTAGGGGTACTTGTTCTTTGAGGGCAGCACTACTGAAATACTTGCCATCTATTATCTATTTAACTTGCTATAGCTTTTTATTTTTTGCTTTGAAGTAACAAGTATTGGGTGCTGATATTTGACAGCAGAGAACTTGTAATTTAGAGAAATACTTATTTCTAGACTGTCTGAAAGACCTGTACTCATACTTGATGTTAATGAATATGCATTCAATTTGTAGCTTCGAGTCCATGGACTAGTTGTGTTAATTGAAGTTGTTAATTACTTTGGAAAAAAAAACAAAAAAAAAAAAGATGACTCCTGAGGAAGAAGCAGCTGTTCTGTTGAGCCTCCTTTAACTGAGGACTGAAAATGCCAACAGGTAAGAATATTTGTGTTTAATTTCTGATGTGTATTTTAATAGATAGAACTATGTGATAGGAGCTTCTTCTGTTGATGAATTTTTAAGCTGCATTGCTTTCATTTTGTTTTGTTGGTTGTATCTGGTTTTTGAAGTACTGTTTTTTTTTATTTTTTTTATTTTTTTAATTTGTCTGCTTTTTTAAATATTTTAATTACTGTGGTAAATATGCTTTAGCTGAGGACTCAGTAACCTTTTCTGGTGGTGTGCTGGATTACATCTTAAAGTTAGCTAAAGTTACCTGGGCATAGGGTGGCAGAGCTAGAACACCTGCTACTTCCAGGGTCAAAATGCTGCTGATAACAATATTGTGGTTCAGAGAAAGGCAGAGGCTCTCAACATTAGCTGGTTTCAGATCCATAGGTGCTTCCTCCTCTTGCAGATTTGTTTCAGGCTCAGTAAGAACCCAGAGCTGCTCCTTTTCCCGGAGACAGTATGTTAACCTCTTTTATCAGGGTACCTCTGCTCATAAACGATGAGGGCAGTCGCCTGTGCTCTGCTTTGGCTAGCCCAAGGTCTTTTGCTGATCCTGATGTGTGTGCAGTTCAAAAATCTGCTTTCTTCAGGAAACAGATTAAAAACTGTGCCAGTTTCATCAGTGAATAGCAGCCGTATTCGTACCATGTTGCCAAGTAATCCTCTTGCAGTTTACACTGTCAGTGGAAATTCTTAACTGAGTACTAAACACATTTCTTGGTAACTTTTTTCCTGATAAAAATAATTACTGCCTCTTGTCATGTTAAAGCACTTTTGTAGGAGTAGCAGTTTTTGAATCATAGGCTAATTTACTTTTTTCAGTTGAAAGTGAGGCAAAAGCAAAAACCAAAGTTCGCTTTGAGGAAATCTTCAGACATCATGCTGGCCTGGCGGACAAAAAGAATTCAAGGAAAAAGAAGTCCCACTCTCAGGAGAATATTGTGGTAAGTTTGAATGCATCCAGCTTTTGGTTAGCTGCCTTTCTCAATGGAAAAAGACCAGGAAAACGTACTTCAGAAGTGAAATGTGCTGAAGTACAGTTTATACTCTGAACAAAATGCTTACATGTCTTTTGGCTTAACGTGGGTTTTATTTGTTGTTTACATACCAGAAGTTTTACTTCAGCGGCATGTCAGAATTATTTGGTAAGTAATTTTGGAAAAGAATAAATGATATGTGCACTCATTTGAAGTCTGTCAGTACTTTTTCCCATTATGTTTTTTTAAAAATTGTTGCAGTTTTTAAATTCTCTATTGACTTCAGTAGGAATCTGAATGATAGAATAATGTGGGATTGTAGCCATAACAGTATTTGGTTTTGAGAGTAATACAGACGTGTAATACATCTGTGAATTGAGAACTTATAAGAACTTAGATCATCATCAATTTCATTCCCTAAAGTTACTGATATAGGAATTTACAAACAGTAAATGGTACTTGAAATGTTTTTTCATTTTGATCTCCATAATAATGTATTTTTTGCATTTGCTGAACTATGCTGCTTTACCTGTGTCGCTGCATGTGTACTTATGCAGTACGCCCATTTTAAAGATCATGCCTTAGCTTATGACTTGCAGATTATGAATGCTTCTATCAAGATGACCACGTGGTTAGATGACTTCTTTGTTTGTGGCATGTCTCTAGTTAAAAGAACCCGAAAGATTCCTCTGAGTTTATATCATAACATTTTTCCTGAACAGAAACATAGTGTTTGAGTCCTATATAATCCCAGCTATTGACGATGATTGGAATTTCCAAGGAAAGGAATTTGCTTAAAAGACAAGTTTTTTGATTTATTTTTTTTTTTTCTTATTTTCTTCCTGTTAGGTTTTATGCTATCTTTTTTTCTAGCAGTTGCATCCATTCCACACGTTGGAAGTGAAAGTTCATTCTTGTGTAACTTGTTAAAGACAATGGAATGCTATTTTATATAATCTCAGATCTTTATATGTATTTGTTATTTATTATGTGACTACTAAATATACTTAGAGATAAAACTTAGAAGCCTAAGTTTGTTGTTTGATCATCTGAAGCTAGTATTTATGGGTACGTATATATGTATTTACTTTGTGAGCCTTGGAGCATGTATTGGGTTGTCAATAGTATATACAGAGAATCAGTGTGATGTTTAAAATATAAAAAAGCCTTTTGCTTTGCTGGCAGGTGTAACTACGAGAGTACTCTGTTTTTAGGTTTACTTCAGTAGCAAAGAAGGAAAAAGCATCTGTGCTAAGATGTTATGTATTACAGGTTTTGAAACATAGTATGCAAACATTGCCACAGTTAATTGCAACTAGTAACAGCTTAAGAAATTAAGTGTCAAAACATCCTTTTGAGTATCTCAACCATGCTTACATTTTGAACAATGCCTCTCCATTGCTTAAATAGTCCCTGATGCAGTCAGAGACAATTGGAACTGTGGCCCTGTTCTAGTTCTAAGGTAATCGAGAGAGGATCACCAAGCACTGTATTGCTGTTCTGAAGATCATTCCCTATGAAAAAGAAATACACACCGTGGAGGAAGGTTGTTCTACGTTGAAGCTCAGTGCATTACTGGCTATTAAATTCCTTAAGCCAGCAGTCACAGCTAACAACTCCTTGCAAGGTTACCATCATTTTCTGATATAAGACTTCTGCAAAAGTGATACTAAAAGCTCTGCTAACACAGTAATACAGAAATCTTTTGCAGCACAAATGTAACTATATGGGTATTCTGATGCTGGTGGGAGTAGATGACCTTTAAAGCCACTTCCAACCCAAGCCGTTCTGTGCTTCTATGAAACATGATTATTTTTTTTTAATTTGTAAATTTTAAGGATGATGTGTTTTTGAGCACATAATTGCATATTCACATGCAACTATATACTACTCACATAAGAATCTAATGCTTACTTTGATTTTTAAGTTGGTTTTCAATTCAAGTGTTTCTGATGTGAAAACACTACTGTTTTGGAGTCAGCTAGAAATGCTTGAAGTACAATCATGGTGAACAAGAAGCAAAAGCTGATACACACCAAAAAAGGAGCATTTTTAGTATTAGTGTGGGTGGAGCTGTGAATTTAAACCAATCAAAAAACTAAACAAAAAAGAAAAATTGAGAACAATATGTATTGAAACCTTGCACTGACAGTTTTGAATATTTCCTTAAAGCCTGTCAAAGATTTAAGAGCTCACGTTGATATTTTCCATGCTGCATTTAGGTAGGAATTTCTATGAGTGATTCAGCAAATGCCTTTCATTTCTTTGTGAGAAATAAATGTTTGTGAGAAAGCAAGAGAAAGAGATGATGAGATTTGTCTGGCTCTCTGCCAGTTTTGCTCACTTCATATAACAACTGTATGGAGTATCGGATATCTTTAAGTAATGTGAAATTCATCAGTGATGTTTGTCTTTGTGCCACATACTTGCCATAAATGGTTTCCCAGGTTTGATAAGAAACAGGTCATAGCTGAGAGCTGCTGCTTTTGTTCTTACCGAACCTAGTCTTTCTTAAAGTAATAAAACCTTTTCTTCATAGTCCAATGTTTCCTTGAGATCTGAGTTTGGAACTGCAGGAGGTTGCTATGATTTTTAATTGTCAGATGTGATAAACAGACTGCTCACCTGCTGCATTCTATGTTGCCTATTAGCAAGAGAGAAAGGAAGCAGTCTGACTGGAAGGGGAGAAGCCATGGCAGTAGGGCGGGATGAGTTTCAAGACACAACTGATAGGAATGAAGGTATTGTAATGCAAATGGATATAGATGTCAGCTGTGGCTGATGAAGATCTACTTTGCTGCTTAGTAGCCAGAGCTGCAGTGGCTCTGACACCTCCAGGCAGGGCTGAAAAAGCAAGACATCAAGACACAGTCAGGAAAGGAATTTCCTATTAACCCTTCCAAGGCTAACAGTCTCTATACTTATTTTTTCCCCCGTTGTACCTCTTATTACAAGTTATTAGAATGAGCTAAACGTCAGATCAAGCAAGGATTTAATACATTTATGTCAGTATAGATTTTCTGGTAGAAAAGAAGATATAAAACTAACAAAAAAAAAAAAGTCTATGAAGTTTTCTACCAGGTGACAAACAAGACTGTGGGTCAAGAAATTCTTTCCTAGTCTACAGCCTAACCAGCTAATAATACTGAGATGAGCATACATTGAAAACTAAGGTGTTATATTCAAGGCAGGACTGCATTATGTGTGTCCATTTCAGGCTTTCTTTTTACTATCTCACTGCAAGCAGAATCAGTGGCCAGCTCAGCCCTTCAGTGAGTTGGCAAGTGCTGGTTCTTATTCTTCGGAGGTGTATCTGTGTTGTGGGAAGACATACAGTTGCCCATGTAATGCTTGATATCATGAGCAAAACCAGTTTGTGTTTCCACACACACACTTGAGAAGTTTATAAAATAAATAATAATAAAAATAATATATAAATATAAATATTTATTTATATATAATAATATAAATAATATAATATAAAAATAATATAAATAATATATAATATATAAATATAATAAAAATAAATATATAAAAGTTTCTTTTTATAAAAGAAACTGCTGTCAGCTCTGGAGTACAGGTGGCAAATGAAAAGTACCTGAGTTTAGCTTGTGTGTTAGCCAGCCTGTGTGCATTTGCCTGTGCCTGACCCTCTCCTATCAAATCAGCTGCACAAGCAAACCTGTTCTTGGGCAGGTAGCTTCTTCTGCCCAGTTATCCTAATGTGACAGTCCTGAAAAAAGCCACCTTGTTTGTTCTATGCTTTAAGCTGATGAGGTCGGGACTGGATGTGCTGGAGTTATTCCAAAGGTATCACTGTCCTCTGAGCTGCTTTTCCAGATGGGGTGCTTTTTCTAACTTGGATCAAGTGTGTTATACATAGACAGTTGCTCTTAGCTGATCTCCCGTGGTTCTGCTTTTCAGATGGATGATGTTTCTAGCAGTGTCCTCTTGTCTATCCAGCACCCAGTCTGATGCAAGTGATGTTTTAATTACTTTTTGTAATTAAATTGTATGTGTAGAAAACATGGCCCAAGTTAAGATCACACAGGCTGTGTGTCTGAGGAACTGCTTTTTTTATGTTTTAAATTTGCTTTCACAGTGACAAATATGTATTGGAGCAGCTGAATCTGACACGAGGTGGTGCTGGTCTCTGCTCAGAGAGGCTATCCCTGCAGCTCTCTTGCTACTAACATTTTACCTTGTAAGTTTAGTACAAGGCTTGATGGAGTAATGATCTATCAAAGGCTAACAGTCAACATGATCTTCTTTATGGTCCCTGAAGCTTGTCTCTAACTTGCATTTTAAAAGGGTGAAAATATTTGTTTCCATGCTGCATGTTGTTTTCCAGTCTGTCATAGTGTAAAGCATACTTATGCAGCATACTTACTGGAGTGGACTGACTGGTTTCTTTTTGCTAGATATGCATGAGTCATTTGAAAACATATGAAACTGTGCTGAAGGTGAAGTGTCCAAATGCACTTTTTTTTCCAGTGTGAATTATCTGTTGTCTTTCAGTCTGTCACTTGTTAATTTTAAACATAAAAACTATTAGGTCCTTGATTTTACTTTGTGTAATATTGCTGAAGAGATAACATAAAGTAGTATGTTCATCCTTAGAACGTGATTTTATTACATTTGATATTCTTTTCATTTATAGCTTGACACTTTTAGAAGTAACATCGATCTAACAAAGGAAAGTGGGCATGATGAAGCAATTATAAACAACACGTACAATCCTGAAGAAGAGAGTCCCCGATTTACGAAAAATAAACTCAGAGAGAAAGCATCAATCGCAGAGAAAATAAATAACGATGTTGTTAGTGGAGAGGCGAGCAAGCAAACAAAGTCTAACAAGAAGAAAAAGAAATCATTGTTACAAGAACAATTTAATGAGGAGGAAAATTTATGTGAGGCTGAATTGGAGAGTTTTGGAAAAAAGCTTAATGATTTTCCAAAGAAAAAGACAAAAAGTAGATCACAAACAGACATACCTCATCAAGGAGATGATGGAAAGGCAAAAAATTCCTTCACTGAAGTGAGAAATGCAATTGAATTAGAAGAGGAAGAAGAGCTAATTCAAGCCTATCAGTTGCATGTGGCTGAGAATGAGATAAATGCAATTAAAAAGAAAATAAGGATGAAACTTAAAGAACAGGTGTCTGAATTTACCTCTGCTGTTCAAAGCAATGAAGTTGCATTGAGTGATGAAGTGGGCAAAAAGAAGAAAAAGAAGAAAGAAGTAGCAGTTGTATGCAAAGCTGAAACAAGGTATTGTGATAAGTATACCACTTGTGTATGAGTCTTAAGCAACGTTTATCATATTAAGATAGTCAATCAGGGAGCTTTTGTGTTTATGCGTTAAGTGGTGAGATAACTGGATAATTCTGTTATGAAATAGATGTTACAGAACACTCTTGACATTAATATTAAACTTATGGATTCTGAATCTTCCATACAGTTTTTCCATATGTCACAGAATGCAATTGTTGACAGTAATCCATTACATTGCAGTGCAATGTCCCTTTCTGAGCTGCAGCATCATCCAGCAGAAGGTAATAATGAAAATCATTTATTGGAAAGAGAATTTGTATCAGAAGAACAGAACCTGGAGGAAAGCATGGAAAAACAGAAACCTAAAGCAAAGAAGGTTAAAAAGAAAACCAAAAAAGGTCTGCTAGCAAAATGAATGGTGTGCTGCTATATCCAAATCACTTTGTTGTTTTTTTCCTTTTGTTTCTCATGTAAATATTTTGCCACTAGTACTCCCTCAATAGTGGTTGAGACTGGAATTGGAGTTGCATCTCTTTCTTTAAATAGTTGTACTTTTTTGCTTCCAATTCTAATAATCAATTGTACGGAAGTTAATTTTGTGTTTCTGTGTATAATCTTGAGAATTCATTTACTGGAGTTAGTTTTAAAATTGTGAAGATGTTAAGTGTATTTTAGGAATAATATAGAATTTTATATATATACCCTAGCTTTATATATTACTATTTAGTTTCATATTCTGATTACCCTTTGATTATTTAATCACATCTTACTTTATAAATGGCGTATTGTCACTGTTTTAACCTGTTGCTCAGTTCAAATGTAAGAAATACTTTTTCAGGTAGCACGTGGTCATACTGGAGAATTAATTTCCTCAAATATTGCAGAGTCCAAAATAGGAAGCAATTTTCTAAAAAAGGGGCATTACACAAATTCATGTTTTGCTAACTGTTAAGGATGGCAGTCTCTCTAACTTCTAAATTGGGATGTTCCTCAGCAGGTGTTTGGTAGGTTCGGGAGAATGCAGTAGAGAAAGCATCAGTTGTTGCTTATATAGTTTTTAAAAAATAAAATAAAATTATAGGCCATAGCCCAGGACAGGTTAGTGAACTATATCAATTTTAAGTAATTCTGGCAGAGAAGAGCTTATGTCAATCAAGAGGAAGACCTCTGGTTTTAAATATTTTTAATAGAAATAGTTTACATGCATTTATATATATTCTTTCAATCGTGTTTTCAATTGTGTTTAAACTGTAACCGTGTTGCAAATTTTATGGTGAACATGAAATATCTTTACTCATTAAGCTGCTACATTAATCTCTGGGTTTTGTTGTTGTTTTTTGTCTGTTTGTTTCTTACTGTTTACAGAAGATAACACAGGCGTTTCTGCAGAAAATGATGAAGAAATGAGGACTTCAGAAATTTCAACTCAGTCTAAATTTGGTTCTGATGATGATCTTGTGTTGGGAGTTTATATCCATCGATCTGATCGACTTAAGACTGATCTTGTATCTCATCCTGTAGTTAAAATCCATATCGTTGATCAGAAAAGTGGCTTATATGTCAAAAAGGAACATAGGTGACTTTTGCTTAGTAAACTGTTTCCGTTGTCTGTGATTGTTATAAATACATATGTTTTTTTCTCCTGTTAAAATGGATCATGAAAATAACTCTGAAGCTTATGAGGTCTCTTGGCAGCTTCTACATCTCTGATAATGCATAATAATGCTTACAGTAAATTAGGATGATGTTCATTCTTTTTTGACTCTTTAAAATTATCTGTGCTATTTCTTTTATTGCTTTTAAGATCTGCATGTTTACCACACTGTTTATTCTGTATTCTTTCCTGAGAGACAGTGTCTCAAATTTTCTTGGCTCAGATGCCAAATTAGAATAAACAAGCAAAACTCTTGTGGTATAAGCAGCATTTGCCTTTTCATTTCCATAAAATAATTTCTAAAATCTTTAAGTGAAGTTCAGTCCTTTACATTTTTCTAATCACTTCTGTTACTTCATTTCACTGTTATTATCCATAATTATCCTGAAAAGCAAATTCTAACACTTTTTACGCCATAGACTCTATCAGAATCATTATGCATAAATGTGGTCACAGTGGCATGATTGTAAGAATTTTTGAATTTACTGTGCCACTTTCTGTGTACTTCACCAATTGTTTCAATCTTTGTGTTTTTTGATTATTTTTTTCCCTAAAATCAAATGTTATCTTATATTTTTCTTTGCTTTCATTAATCAAAGTTACTGTTTTGTTTGAGTTTTGTGGTTTTAAGACATTAAAACTATTATAACTTTTTGGAAATTTTTATACAGGGAGAGGAAAGTTGTGTCTTCCAACGAGGAAGAGCAAATCGACTACATTCTTCCTATTATGACACAGCCGTATGACTTTAGACAGTTTAGGTCAACAGTCCCAGATTGGGAGGAACAAATCATATTTAATGAGCGCTTTAATTATTTTATTCAAAACACTGAGGAAAGCCCTCAAGTAATTCTGTTTTTTGAGGTAAGATGAAATATTTTGATGTTTTGATTGTTTTGATTTTGTAAAGTTTGTGTGTAATTCAAGAGTGTATATATGGCTTATTCAAGTGTTTTATTTCAGTTATATTGAATTACAAGTGAAGCTTTAATATACAGCATTAAGTGGACGTTTCAAAAAGTAACATTGGTGTTTTTAACACCACTTGTAAATAAGTCAAAAAAACCCTGATCTGTAAGAATCAAGTTTTCTAATGAACTCAGCTAACAAACTCAATGTAAAGGCTCATTAAGATCACTTCAAATCATGAGGGATGATACCATGTAAAAAAGATAACACTTTCTTTTCTACATTCATATTTGAAACATTGAATGGCTTGAATTGGAAGGAATGTTAGGTTTTCAACCCCCTTGCTGTGGGCAGGGTTGTCACCCACCAGATCAGGTTACCTAGAGCCCCATTCAACCTGGCCTTGAATGCCTTCAGGGATGGGGCCCCCACAGCTTCTCTGGGCAGCCTGTGCCACTACTTCACCATCCTCAGTAAAGAATTCCTGTCTAACATCTGATCTGACTCTCCTTTTTCGTTTAAAAGTGTTCTCCCTTGTCCTGTCACTATGAGACTAAATAAATATATATCTTTTTATAAGCTCCTTTTGAGTACAAGAAGAGCACAGTAAGCTCTTCTTAGAGTACTTCTCCTGAACAAGCCCAGGTCCCTCAGCCTTTCTGAGAGAGGAGAGGTTCTTCAGTGCTCTGATCATCTTCATGGCCCCCTGGGCTGCAAGAGCACACTGCTAGCTCATGTCCAGCTTTTCATATGAGAGCCCTCAAGTCTTTCTCTGCAGGGCTGCTCTCAATGAATTCTCCCAGTCTGTACACATATCTGGGGTGGTAATTCTTGAAATATGAAAAGAAGCTTAAGTTCTTGAGTGGGGAAGGATGGGAGGAACTCAAAGACAGAGTCAGTCTGCTTGCAGCAGTGTGTCTTTTCCATTGTACCAATGAACGAGCCATTGCCCTGTTTTCTATTAACATTTTAGAAATTGTAGAGTAGGTTTTTAACATAATTTTCTGCTTAAGTATTTCAATTATTGTAAAAAGTGTATACAAAGACAGATTCTGCAGTATTTAACTGAAATTGCAAAGCTAATATATTATTTCTTTATTCCTTGTTTTTCTAATTCAAATACCTTATATATACAATCTCACTGTATGTTGCTTTTTTTTTTTTTTTTTTTTGATTTTCTGTGACACTCGTAAATGAACATGTCTAGAATTAAGAGTCTCCAATTACTTAGCACAGATCTAACTACAGTTGTGTTTAAAATTCTTTGTGGGAATTATGATGGTGGAGCCAAAAGTATGACTACACCAAAAACCTGCTCTTTGAACACCATAGTTTTTGAAGCATAACTTAGAAAATGAAATGATTGTTTTTTATATGCTTCATAAATTTAAAGGAGTTGCTATATATGAGAAGATTCTGATCTGATGAGAAAAATGAAGGCTCTTATAGGCTAACTGATGAAGTTAAGAAGGAAAATTAACTTTTTGACTGATCTTTTTCCAGTTAGATTATTTTACAGCTTGGTATGCCTGTTAGGAATGTTATCTGTACGTATCATATATGAACTGTAGGATTTATGAAAATTATTCATGATCTTTTTCCTGTTTTTTTTTTTTTTTTTTTTTTGAGGAAGAAGGGAGAAAAAAAAAATAAACCTGATCTTAAAGAAAAAAAAAAAAACAAACCACTTTTTTAAAACAGATCATAAATAGTCATTAGGTAAATGCAAAAGGTCCTTTTGCTTCTAATTGTGTCATTGTGTGGAAGAAGTACTTTTTTTTTTTTTGTAACTGTATAAAACTGAAATCTGTGATAAATCACATCTAGTGCATTTTTAGTGGTAATTTTTTATTGCTGTAAAGTATATATTCACTAAAAGTACAGTTATATTCCTACTAATGCTTGCAGATCCTTGATTTTCTAAGTATGGATGAAGCGAGAGTCAACTCTGATGCACAAATTCAGGACTGTGGTTTCCGAAAAATCTGCTGGGCATTTCTAAAGGTATTGTGAATTTTTAAAAGAAAAAAATATTAGAAACCTTTTTAATTATATAAAACAACTACTAGTAAGTGGTGAAATACTTTTGAATATTTCCAGGCAGCGGTGATGAAAAACAAATCCTTTCCTGCCTGTTCACATCCTTCCTTCTCTCTTCTCTAGATCAAGTCCAGAGGAAATTCAGTAAAGAATAACTATTTTTTCAAGAGGATATAGAATATAGAAATGTGGAATAATTTCCACATTTTATTTGCTCATCAAGAGTAAGAGACTATCTTGGACAGGGAAAGTAGAAACTTGCTATTTTCAGTTGACCAGTTTTCAGAAAGACTCCCTAGCCTGATAATAAAATGACTGCCATTTTTAATTGCGGAGCTTGAGATGCTGCAGCAGTGAGATAGAGCCTGCATGTCGTGCTTTTTTAACTCTATTTAGGGGAAACTCAAGTGTCTTCATTTGGGCTTTTAAGATCTAACAAGATTATTATATGTTTTAACCTGCTTCAGGGTTGTTCGTTTTTAACTACCTCTGTGAATGATAAATTTTGACAGCCGTGAAGCAGTCCATAACATGAGACATACAGGAGAAGATAAATGGACTGCAAGCTTACGGGAAAGCACAGGGACCTCCTGATCATTCTGTAATGATTCTTATCTCATCCCAAGATGATTCTACAGGAATCAGAATCCCCTGTCTGGGTGTGCATACAGCTAGAGCTGTGTTCCTGAATGAAAGCAAGGATGGACTTCAAGCTCATAAATACAAATAAAACTGACCTGATGAGGAGGCAGATTTGGAAGAGATTTTTTTATGGATTCACAGTCATTAAGGATTTCGACGATTCCAGCAAATGATTATTTAAAAAAAAATAAATAAATGAGGCTGCAGAGGTTCTTCCCATCTGCAGGATATCATTGCTGTGCATGTGAAATATACTTTAAGAACTAGACCACTGTCTAAGTGTTAGTCTTTGTGATTTCATGATTAAGGTATTTAATTATTTCATTACCACTTTTAGGAATAATAATCTTCCCCAGAGGAAAGTGGATTTCAGAATTTATGCTGTGTTTATTTGTAATATTAGAAATAATGAAAGATTTTTATTAGTTTTGTTTAAACATTTGTAGTGGAAATGTTAAGTCATTAACCAGTGATTGAGCACCTGGTGGGATGGTAGTGCCAACCTAGGAGAGCTCAGGTGTATGCAATGCACCTGAGTGACTGGAAGGGGTGGAGTCAGGATTCACTCCCTCCCAGGTGTCTTTTAAGGGTTGGCAGTGGAGGCAGGGGTATCTTGCTGGAATTCCTGGTTGTCTAAGGATTTCTAAAGGTGAACAGCATTTTTACTTTTATTTTTTTTGCCGTTGTTTCTGCGTCTATGCCTACTGCGCTTGGGCTTATCCTCACTTGCTGCAGCGTAGACCCTTCTACCCCACTGTCACTGCTGTGTTTTCAATCATGTTATAGCATTACAGCATTACACACTTCTCTTTTTAATCGCATTTACAGCTTGTTGGTGCAAATGGGGTTCTAAACGTTGATGGAAGACTCCGTCTGCAATTGTATTACCCACCTTCAAAGACCAGGTCACATTCAGACATTGTTGAAGTTTATGACTGGTGGGCAAAATGTCCTAGAAGTCGTTACCCATCAACTTTATATGTTACTGTAAGAGGCATAAAACTGCCAGATCATGTAAGTTAAATTTTATATATTTACTGGTACTAGGCTCCTACAGAAAAATCTGTGTAAATAGCTTCAGTGTGTGTCTCATATGTGTGCATGTATATAAATGCTAGCCTTGTGTGTAGAATGTAAAATAGTACATAACTAGCTATAATACAACTTTGCATCTTAAGATATTTGTTCCAAACTCAGTGCTTTGTGACTATCTTTGGAAAAATAGATGCTTTCTCCCACTTGTAGCATTGCATATTCTGTCATTGGCAGAAAATTCAGGGTATTTTCTGGAAAACAGATATTCCTTCTCATTAGGATAAATGCTTTTTTTAGTCACTGGACTCATGCAAATGTGTAAATTCTGTGAGAGGAACAGTAAGTCACTTACTTATGAATTGCTTTAAATAAATTTCCTAATATTTGAATCTCATGTATGAGATTCTTTCCAGTCTCTTCGTTTTTTCATCTGTAAAAAAAAAAAAAACAACCCACTTGAAGTTAAAAGTACTTCCGAATCTTTTCAGATAAGACAGTGTTTATTTTATGAATTTTTTCCCTAATAATTTTTTTTTTTTTTTTTTGCCTTAAGGTTGCCCCTTCTTTCCATTCTATGGTGGCTGTTCAACAGGAACAAAGTAGTGCAACACTGTGTGAGCTCCGTGGGGAGGGATCTAAAAGGTCATGTGAAGTCAGTTCTCTAGAGGAGAAAAAAGAGCAGCTAAAGTGGTCAAGGCTTCCTGGACAGGTGAGGTGTTTTATTTTCCTTTTGAAGTAAAACATAATTTAAAGTTTTATTACTTCTTAATAGCTTTATCTGTATGATGTGTTATGAGGCATTAAAACATGAGAAAGAACAAAACAACACTACTAAAAGCACAAAACGCAAAGATCTCTCTGAGGTAGCAGGGAAGGCACAGCTTCCAACCAATGTAGTTCATCCAACTGTTTTTCCCAAAAGAGTCAAGTGTTTTCATCTTCAGAATTCTCTAGGAATCTGAAAGGCTATTCAAGTACGTAAGTAAGGAAAGTAAGTAAGTTAGGAAGACAGTTCTCAAGCTTAAGCTAAATCGTACACCTACTTTCAAGGAGAACACTTCAACATATCTAAACCTTTATTTCCTAGTAATGTTTGCTAATTATAATCCTAAAGAATAGGTAAGACTGTTTTGCAGTGCAGATTTTCTTGCTACAAATGGCAGGTTCCCTGAAATGTTTATTCATGTTAATGTTAATTTTCCAAGAATTGCCATTCTGCAAGTAAGTGTTTATTCAAAGAGAAGTGAAAGAAAAATCCTAAGAATATTAGTTTGCAATAAAAATAAAATTGACAGTTCCTTTATTCTTAACTAAACCTTTGTTACCAACAGTGATCTGTTTTGTGATATGATGTCCACTGAAAACATTTTTGTAATGTTAGGAGGATGTTGCTCTGAAGAATACTAAAGCCAATGTTTTTCTAAAAAAAAAAAAAAAAATCATTCAAGGTTGTTATTTTCTTTGTATACAGAAAAATTATTTTAAAAATATATTTTAAAGATAATTTATTCTTATCTGTCTCCGTAAATATAGATAGATGATATTTTTCCAAAATGCTCTATTGTGAACTGAGTTTCCTATGAAATGTTTTTATATGAACTCAAGCTATCTGAAGTGTAAGTAAAATGTGTGGGTTTTTTTGAAGCTGAAATTGATTCAACGTTGTAATCTTTTAATTTAAAGAGAGGTTAAAAAGAAAAAATACACCTCCTCACATATATAGTTTTTACCAAGATGCATTTACTTGTATTCTTAAGTGAAGAACATATACTAAATTATTTCATAAGCAGATAATAGGAATATTTGTATATTTTAAGTGCATAGAAATCTGTTCATTTGTCATTCTTAAAAATAAATCAAATTTAGGTTAAATAGTCAAATGATTATTCTGGTTTGTTTAGTTTCTCTTAAGTATTGAATTTAGTTTTGAGGAAAAAGCCCATGGATAAAAAAGGAGGTGTTTTAAGAGATGATAAAACACTAATGCCTATATAACTTCTTGACAGTTAAACATTGGAAAAATATTAATAATAGGGAATTACAATACCGATGAGGAATGCTGAAGGTGATTTGGCAGACCAAACTTTTGTGTGCCTGTAGTTAGTTTTCTGAGTTCACACTGCAACTATTAAATTACTGAAAGTTTTACTTAGACTACTTAATGAAACTTGAGTTGCTAACTCCATAGCATATAATATGAAGGATAGTCATAGCTAAGTGTATCTTAAAATGAAGGGCATTTTCTTTTTAGTTTTCCTTGAGTTTTAAAGACTTGTCAGTTATATATTCGTTTCTGTTAGACAAGCTAAATGTGGTGGAAGTTACACAGAACTCTCTCTGTTTATGAGGTTGATTTTTTTTTTTTGAAAACTTGTGTAAGACAAGAGCTGAGAAAGTGTTTTGAGTGTTGTTCAGTCAATATTTATAACTCTGTAATCCCAATTCTTGTCTGAAAAGCTAGGCTTGTCGCATTCCAAACAAACATCTGTTTTCACTGCGAGGTGGAGATATGGGCTGTTTCTGTATTCGTTTCTCTCATGATGGAAGAACCCTGGCAGCAGCATGTGCAGGAAAGAATGGCTATCCCATTGCTTGTAAGTTAAAACTGTGCAGTACTTTTCTATAACTAATGTACTTTATCTTAATTGTGGTTTTAATAATTTAAACCTGTTGGGCCCAGTATCTGAAGAGTTAGGAAGGGTTAAGACATCTGTGACATATGTGAACCACTAGATGGAAGTGTATGCTTGCTGTCCGTGCACATCTAGCAACTGTTTGTTACTGTTTTCTGAAAAGGAGAATGTAAAGAAAATAAACTAGTACTAGCAAAAACTCAGCCTCAGGTTAGACTAATCTTTGCTTTATTTGTGTATAATTGATTGTTAATGCTTTCAAAATGTTTATTGTTCTATTTAAACTTTCATTAGTGTATGAAATTCCTTCTGGACAGTTCCTGAGAGAATTCTATGGTCACCTTAACATAGTGTATGATCTTTGTTGGTCAAAGGACAGTCAACACCTTCTTACTGCATCCTCTGATGGTACTGTCAGGTACGTATAATAGAAATCTTCTGGTAGATAGCTTCAGCAGCATGAAAGAAAGTGACACAATTTTGTGTGTATATATTTGAGAGTAAAACTTTCACAAAAAATAGTAGTATCTAAATGTAAAGCCCAGCAAACCAATGAATAAAAAAGGCTCTATGTTTCAAGAAATCATTGATGCAGTTGGAATATTCTGTCCTTGCAGAAACTGACATTGTGTACTCTACATTAGACTTGCAAATTTGTACCTGAGGCAGGAAATAGAAAATCTAAAATTTGTGAAATGTGTTTAAATCTGCCATTTTGCACGTATGTAAATTTTGATTTTTCTGGACATATAGCTAAATATTGCAACTTAAATTACCGTAATTAGAATTGGACTGTCTTATTTCAATGTCTGAATGTGTAACAATTAAAAAGTGTACTACCATGCGGTGTTAACGCTAAGATCCTAGTCTGTTTGAGGTTTAGAAGCAAAACTCTCAAAGCTGTAGAAAACAGGAAAATATGCCCATGACACTGCAGAATTTTGTTATGAGCAACTTCATAGGTTTTCATAGGCTTTTTTTTTTTTTTTTTTTAAGTTCTTCAGATCCCTATCTGTTGCTTCTGTTATGCAATTCAGTAATGCTACAGGGAGTTGCATAATTAAAATACCAGAAGAATTGTTAAATGATGTATGTGTGGAGCTTTTTTGCTATCCCCCTATCTTTTTCTGTGTATGAATAAAGAGAATATTTTGTTTATTTTATTTGGACTGGGGTAAAATAAGGTGTTTTTTTATATTACAGGAGGTGTCAGTTTCAGTTGTTTTTATTTATTTGTATGAATGCCGTGAATGTTCCTAAATTCTTGAGTTTGTGGCAGCAAGATGAAACTGCAGCCATCTACCTCCTTTTCTGTGTGCTATGCGTAATCATAGTATGAGTTATTTCCTGTGTTTATTGTCCACTGCCTTCAAAGTGACTCAGTTCAGGAAAGAATTTTCTTCTTTTTCCCTTAATGTTGGAATTACTTGACTTTTGAAACATATTAGAATTAAAGGATGAGCAGGGAAAGAACCTTTGTTATTTTAAAGTCATATTAGTTTATTACCTGGATCATCACTCAGAGAGTTGTACAAAAGGCTGAAGGGAAAACTCAAAGTTAATCCTTCTTTATACAATGTCTTCTACTGGCAATGCTGCCTTTGAGCCTACCTAAGATTTAATATCTCATTATTTCTGAGCAATAAATAAGCTTTTCTGCTGTTAGAGCAAAACCATTCTAAGATAGGTTTGTGACTTTGTACATTAAGTTGCAAGTTAATAGATGTACTCTTAGGGACTGTAACTTTGTAATGAGCTCACCTCAGAGTGATATTAGAATTCTTCAGCATTTGCTGGAAACAAAACCTCAAACTAAGCACTCAAACAATTAGATTCCACGTTGTAACTGTGTGCTCTCTGCAGTGTGCCATCTGCCTCTATTTCATAGTCCGTGTACCATTGCATTTATGGGTTCATCTTAGGAAAAGGCTCAACAGATGAGCATGAAACAACATTTCTTAAGAAAAGCTTGATATTACAGCTGTGGATAGTGAAGGACAGGAAATAAACTCGGTTCTTACTATGCACTTATCTGAAGAAAATGTCTTTGAGATCATGATTGCCACTGTATGGTAGATGATTGTTTTTAAAATTTTCTGGGTTTTTAATTTTTTTTATTGGTTCTGAATGCGCATTTGTGAGTTGTGCTTTTATTCTTTTTTTACTTCTATTTTGTTTTTCTTGTAATGTTACGTCACTTTTAATAATGTGTTTATAACTGAAGAAAGGAAAAAAAAACCAAGCCATTCCATGAAATCCCTGGTGTATTTTAAAATGTGCAAAATATCCATTAAATAAGTACTCCTGAATTTACCTAGAAGACAGAGTATCATGTGAGGTATTAGATGTACCTTAATTCTTGTTTGAAAATAGCCTATTAGAGGATTATATGTGGAACAAATTGGGACGATTAAAAATGGCTGTTAAGTGTTTGCAAGCATTTGACTTTAGAACCACTAGCATAAAGTAAGGCATCAGTTTTGCCCATGTATATGATTGCTTTATTCAGTAGATATCCTAACATGTTTTCCTTTTAGAATGTGGAAGATTGAAACACAAGTTGCATCTGCAGTGAAGGTTTTCCCTCATCCTTCATTTGTTTACACTGCTAAGTACCACCCAGTTTCTGACTCTTTGGTGGTGACAGGATGTTATGATGCTGTAATTAGAATATGGAATGCCAGTGTGAAAGAAATCCATGGGCAACTGCTACAAGAGCTTGATGGTCACAAAAGTTTCATCAACACACTTTGTTTTGATACTGAAGGTATATACCTGGTATTACTTCTTCAAATATTACTTACTTCAACTGAAGACCAGTTTCGTGCAACTTGATTTATTTCCTAGAAGCAATGTGAAATGCTATGATAAAATCATTTTAGTTCTGTTTGTAATTAATATATTAGTATTGTGTGTTATTTGAAACTACTTTGGATAAGCACAAAGGGACATGTAGTTCCTGATGTAATTGAAGGGTAATCAGGAATGGTAAGCATAGAAAAGATGTCACTCAGCAGTGATGACTGGACAAATTTTGATAGCAATTTAAGTTTGTATTGTCCCTGTAACTATCTAATATTTGCTGGTTAATATTTTGTATATATTGCGGCAAAAAAATAGCAGAAGATAAAGTACAGATACTGCTATTCAGAGGATGCAAACGCAAAAGTATGCAGGTGGAAAGCCTGGTAGCTAGTGTAAAGAGTTAAATAGGGGGAAAAAAGCATGTTTGGATAAGGAATTGAAGAATTACGTAATCATTTAAGAGCAGAAGCAGGAAGTTTGAAACCAGATTGAAAGAACTCTCAGCACTTGAAAAGATTACGTGATCAGAACAGTAACAAAGACAGATGCTCCGTGTTGTTTGAAGTTGCCGACTAGAAACAAATAAAAAAATAGAATAACAGAAATAAGACTGAGAATTTTAATGCTCGGCTGAAGTGGAAAGGTGGTGAGATAAGAGGGCAGAGATTAGTTCAAACGTTTTGAAGAATGTTAACTGGTAGATTAACAGCTGAAAGTGGGTAGTGTCACAGGTGCACTGACGTAATTCTCTGGTTGATGGGGAGAGTTGAAAATAGGTGAATGAATAATGTACTTGAAAGTATTTTACTTTGGGTATTAGTGACTTCCTTAGTAGTTGTGTGATTCGTTTTTGGAAATATTATTGATTATAGTTTCTAAGTAGAGGAAAATGTTGCGTTTTTCCTAAGCAGAATTTGTGCCTAAGTTAAGATCAACTATTGGAACGTGTTCAAGTTGCTCTTGGGGAATATATAGATAAGCATGAGATGTTCATCACTATCATTCACTATCAATAAAAGCTGGGGAATTAAGGGATTGAGCAAAGCCCCGTGGAAAAAGACTTAAGACAACTGGTGGCTGGCAGGTGGTCAGACTGAATAGCTATGTACCTTCTCAGCCCAGAAACCAACTGTATCCTGGGCTGCATTTTAAAAAAAAAAAAAAAAAAAAAAAGTGTGGCCATCAGGATGAGGGAGGTGATCCTCCTCCTCTACTCTGTGTTGATGAGATTTCACTTGGAGTACTGCATCCAGATGTGGAGTCCTCACTATCGGAGAGACATGGACCTGTTGGAGTGTGTCCAGAAGAGGGCCACAAAAATGATCTAAATGATGGAACTCCTCTCCTATGAGTACAGGCTGTGAGAGCTAGGGCTGTTCAGATTGGAGAAGGCTCATAGGAGACCTGAGAGCAACCTTTTGGTATCTGAAAGGAGGCTGTAAGCAAAAAACGGACTGACTCTTTAGCAGGATCTGTTGTGGAAGGGCAAGGTTTCAAACCTTGTGAAAGGAAATGGTTTTAAACTGAAGGAGGGAAGATTGAGACTGAATATAAGGAAAAAGGTGTTGTTTTTTTGTTGTTGTTGTTTTTTAACTATAAGGGCTGTGAAGCACTGGAGCTAGTTGCCCAGAGATGTAGGTGACCTGTCCCTGAAGATATGCAAGGACAGACTGGAGGGGACTCTAAGCAACCTGATCTAGCTGTAGGTGTCCTTGTTCATTGGAGGAGGGTTGGACTATGTGACCTTTAAACGTTCCTTCCAACTCATGATTCTCTGTAACACTCACTGAGCTATGAATGTTCATTTTTAGCATATGAATAGAAAATGAATGAATTTAATAAAATTTTTAGCATCCTAGTGTCTAACTTATTTGCTAAATCTAGTATAAGCAAAATGTATTTGGTACTGATTATGTCATAGCAAAACATGAAGTAATTTGTTTTTGCCTATTCCTGAAAATAATAGAAGCTTTCTTTTTGTTCATAACTCCTTGTCTTTATTTGTTCTTTTGTATGGTTTTCTGAGACGATATTTTTATTTCACAGGGCTCCACATGTTCTCAGGAGATAGTTCAGGACTGATAATAGTTTGGGATACGTCTGTGAAAGGAAGTTCTCAATGCCTGTTTCAACACTGGAGAATTAATAAAGTATACAGGTTTCTTAAACTAGCATTGTAATTTTTATGTGAAGTGTTGCAAATCTAGTCACTTGATTAGAATTCATTGTTTAACTGGAAATAACTTGTTAACAATACAAAATCATGTTGTGATTCATTGACAGCATTTTTGAATTATTTCACACGTTTAATTTTGGCATATAAAACATGAAAATTCTTGAGGTTTAATAATGTCATATTAACAGATATATGTGAATTAGATTTGTTCACTAGAGAAAACAGCGCAGTCACCTTTAATACCTTTGAGGCCTAATGTTCAGTCAGTGTTTCTGTCATCAGCTGTGTTTCAGAAGCTCACTAGTAATAGGATCTGCCTTGTGGTTATGAAAAGCTGATTGCTTAGGGATCTAGGATCAAACATTTTCCTTAACCGAATAGAGTGAAGAGAGCAGGAGAAGAGCAATGGAAGAGAAAAAAGAATAATAATGTTTACAAACTTGAGTATTAAAACAGAACTTCTTCTCATCTTTCTGTAGGAAATAAAAGAAAATGATCTTAAAGGAACTCCAATAAATCATTTGGAGGTGCATCCAAATGGAAGACGTTTATTAATCCATGCCAAAGACAGTACCCTGAGAATTACTGATCTCAGAATGTAAGTAGATTTGGGTATTACTGTATAGTTACTTTTATTTTAAAATTTTCTTAGTGGAGAAATTAGATTCCATAAAACTGCTAGATGTATGATTGTGAAGAAGAAAGATGTCCTAGTAATTAAAGGTTAGAAATATTAGTGTTGGAAAATCGTCTCAAAACACTGTTGTATTGTAGGCCTTCTGTGTGAGGTTGGGTATGCCTTTTAGAATAAAATTGCTAAAAATGACTAGATGTCTTAAGCTCCAGAGTCAACATGAAAGATAACACTCTAACCTCCTGAAGATTGCATTCCCTTTTAGAAATGAAATCTAGGCCTGAGAGTAACTTTGAAATTTTAACATTCATATATTTCTCTCAGTTTCATATTGGGAAGTGCCTGGAAAAGTGTAATGAAGATTGTCATCATATATATTGAATAATGCAATTATGTACATATTATGGTTGTTTTGAGCAGGTGGTGATATTTTTTTAAACTTAATTCTTGATTACTTTCTTCTTTTAATAGTTGTGAATGTAATGCTCTACTAATAGATTGCAAGAAATGAGGTTGACAAAATCACTGGAGTTAGTGAGGTTGGATGGGACCTGAAGAGTGTCTAACTCAACCCCACTAATCAAAGAACAAGAGTAGGTTGCTGAGGGCATTGTCCAATTGTGTTTTGAGTGTCTCCAAAGAATAAAAGTCCGTGACTTCTGTAAGCAGCATGGTCTAGTGTTTGTACATCTTCAAAGTATGAAGAAAAAAAAAGCTTAGGTTGTAAATGGAATATCATATATTTCAGCTTGTGGCAGCATGAGAAACTTGTCATGGCCTACTTCCTCCAGAGATCTCACTACTGCATATATTGGATTGTGTGTTTGAGCTAGCTGAAGGCTTTCTAGTCCTAAAAGTGACTCTTTATTTGTTACTGTAAGTGGTAAATTATAATGACTGTGCTAGAAGGTTAAACTCAATGAAAGCCTGAAATCTGTAGATGAACTGAAATAACTTGTAGCCTTTTTTTTTTAAAGTTGATGTTGATGTCCTATCAGAACAATTTCAGAATCATGAAGAGAGTTTAGTTTCAGAGAGAAAATTGGAGATACATATTTAATCTCTATAAGGAGTTAACATGATATGCAATTGCACAATTGTTTTAAGTCATCTTATCGGTAGAATACAGCACACCTTTAGCCATGTATTCCTAGTATTTTCTGTTTATCAGCTCTAGAGATCTTTGCAGGGTAAGTCAGATCAGTGAACTGATCCAGCTGAAAATCAACCTACAAAAGCAAATGATTAATATTAATTTAAATCAGTTATCTAATCTAACTCATCTGATAGCTGCTAATACACTAGAGAAATGAGGTAGAGCCTGGGAAAATAAGGGTGGAGAGGTTAGCAGCAGGACTACTGCTTTGACCACAGCCCACAGTTACACTGGCTTAAATCTATCAATAAACCACAGAGTCAGATACCCAGGAATGATAAGTTTGCACGTCATCATTAACTCTTCATTCCGTGCATGAGAAAAGAGGGGGTGGAGGTCACAGATCAGCACAATTCACTTTGGCGGCTAGTTGTTCTGAACTGTCCTCTTTCAACTTTTTTATTTTTATCTTTTTGGACAATGCTGTCCTGTCACTCAGGTATGTGATCAGCATTTTGTTTCGGACATTAGGGTTTCTTTCATATACAAGTTAGTTTCACATCATATAGAGCATCTCAGAGATACTGTCTTTTTGTTCGCACAACCTAAACTCTCGCTTGGGAAAATATGTTCTTGCAATATGATCTTCAAAGCATCCAAAGATTGCCAAACGTAATCACATCTCAGATATATTTATTCAGAATATTGTTAAAAGTAATGCTCTGTCTTGTAATATAAATCACATTGCAGTTCTCCCGGCATATGTCCATTGCTTCTGCAGTAACCTTTTAAAAATTACTGTCCTCTTTGAGGGCTGTTTTTAGCCTATAACTATTTTTCTTGCCTCAAAATCTGCATCACAATATAATTTCTTTCTTCACTTTGCACTTCTATACCTCTTCTAGCTGTATGTGATGTTGGAGGTCTCTTGCAAGCTGGGCTGCTGGTTTAAATCCTCTTGCCAGTTCTATCTTACGTGATGCTTACAACTTATTTAACAAACTAGTTCATTTTTAGATCATTATGACTATGCTGACCAGTAGTTTCTCAGTGATGAAGATTCCTACTCTTAAATAGGAAAATGATATTAAAATATTAACATCAACAGCAAAAGATGTTTGTCTAAAATTTGTTGATTGTTCTGCTGCTTTTGTAATGAAGTAAATAATAGCCTGAAAAGTGTAACGGGAGATGCTAGATAAATTTACGCATTACTGAGTTGCAGTTAAACTCAAAAAGCATAATGAAAATATTTTTGACAGAGCTGGGAATAATAGTACTAATTTCCACATTTTCTTTGGAGCCCTGAATCAAGAAAATTTGAATACCTATATCTGTATCTATTCTCCATATCTAAGTATATACTTTTTTTTTTTTTTAATGAAAGATATACATGTGTAATTTCAAGTTCATTAAAAAAGTAGGGAAAATGAAGGGTAAGAGTTGCACTCAGCAAGCAGTGGGTGCTCGTATATTTACTTGAGAATCACTGTTTATTTTTCTGAGATATAGGAAGGAACTGAGACGAGAAGTTGTCTAAAATGGAAGTATTTTCTACATTTACAGACTATTCTTTATTTTCAGCTTGGCTACAAAGAAGTATATAGGTGCTACAAATTACAGAGAGAAGATTCACAGCACTTTAACACCATGTGGTACATTTCTTTTTTCTGGAAGCGAAGATGGAAAAGCTTATGTGTGGAATCCAGAGACAGGTAATTGTCCTATGATTTTAACTGAATTTGTCAAGATTGAGAGGAAAGGATTCTCTAAGCTTTACTGAAACGCTTTTGATATCAGGTGAAACCATCAGTAAGATGTTCTTAAATCTTGGAGCCTTAGCTCCATCTTTTAAGTAGTTGTCATTAATTTCTAATATCTAGTTCTTTAGAGGAAACAAATAGGCAGAGATAGAATTTGTGGTATTCAGCAGGAGTGGAGCACCTTAAGCTGAGCTGCAGTTCCACAATTCATGCGTGCAGATAAGCATCTTGAAATACACAAAAATGTTTTAAGTCAAATCAGTTATTTTGTTGATTGTTTTGATTTGATTTGTGTTTGGGTGGTTGTTGTGCTTTTTCTTTTTTAATTTGGGGATTAGGCTTTTGTTGTACAACATGTTTCTCATTTCCCAGGGCTGATCTGAGATTCTGAGTGTGTTAGCCCTTTGGAGTAAATTCATAAATTATTCCTCAGACTTAATAATTTTAAAATAACTTTACTACCAAAATATTTCTGGAATATATCTAAATGAGAAAAGATAAAGACTTTGTAATCTTGACTGTATGAGGTAATTGCAAAAAAAAAAAAACAACCCAGCAGTAGGTAACAAGCACTCTCTAGTTTTCTTGACAAAAACTTGTCCTTGATTATGATGTGAAGAATTTTTTAAAAGGAAAAATGCTAAGTCATTTAAAACTGGTAGTTAGCCAACAGTTTTATTTTGGTTTTCTTTCCATGTTTCCAACTAGATCAGCTCGCATCCATGCCACTACATGATTTGTCTCAAAACTTAATATAAGTAGATAAATATGATACGGGAGAGAGAGACTGTGTTAATATATTTTCATTCAGCTTTCACTCTTTCTTACTTAATGTACCATGTATATATTCACACACAATGTACACAATGTGATCATCTGAAGCACAAATTTTATTTCATTTTTTAATAACGTTTACATCTACAACTAAGATAGATATCAGTGGTGAAATAAAAGCACAAGCTTTTATTTCATTACATGTGCTATGTAACACCACCTTTCCAGAACTTGCTTAACAGAACAGCACAATTCAGCTAACCTGATGCATCCTCTGGGGTTTCCTGTAGCTGTTGCAACACCTCTAACCTTTCTGACTTCTTGAATAACTCAAAAGCTTGCAGTGCTTTTTGTTTGTTTCGTCACGTAATACCTTTCAATAAGGAAATTATATAAAGAATGTTTATTTAGAGTAGTGGTCAGTACATTTAAAAAATATGAGCCTTAACCAATTCAAGAAGTAGTATACTCTCTAAGTACCTGATTGTTTTTCTATCCTACAGTAATATATCATTTTAGTTGTTCAGCTGAATGTTTGACTCTATTTTAATAGCGTAGGAATAATTTAGCTTACAGCTTCAGAATCATTACCTACTTCAGAAAGGTAAACAAAGTCTTTAAGTGTTTTGGCACTCTGCAAAATACTGCAGTTACTCAGCTGTATCAGATACATTTCCATGATACCAATAACTTTGTTTCACTTCTGCAGGAGATCAGGTGGCAATATATTCTGAACTTTCCTTTACATCTCCACTTCGTGACGTTGCCTTTCATCCACATGAACATATGGTGTCATTTTGTGCCTTTGGTCAAAACCAACCAATACTTGTATATATTTATGATTATAAAGGTACAGTACAAACTCTCTTTATATGTATACATGTAATTTGAATATGGTGTGTATTCCATATGAATATGGAATTTTGAGATGGTGAAGGGCCTGGAGCATCTCTCCTATGGAGAAAGGCTGAGTGAAATGGGTCTGCTCAGCCTTGAGAAAAGAAGACTGAGAGGGGACCTGATCCAGGTCTATAAATATCTAAGGTGTGGGGGGCAGAGTGCTGAGGCCAGACTGTTTTCAGTGGTGAGTGGAGACAGGACAAGGGGAACGGCCAGAAACTGCAGCATAGGAAGTTCTGCACAAATGTGCAAAGGAACTTCTTTACAGTGAGGTGACGGAGCACTGGAACAGGCTGCCCAGGGAGGTGGTGGAGTCTCCTTCTCTGGAGATGTTCAAGACCTGCCTGGATGCCGACCTGTGCGACCTGCTGTAGGGAACCTGCTTTGGCAGGGGGGTTGGACTCGATGATCTCTGGAGGTCCCTTCCAGCCCCTACAATTCTGTGATTCTGTCATTTTTCTTTACTTCAGTAGTTATTTGCATAGTGTTTGTACTTCTTTTGAAGAGGAGAAAAAAAAAAAAAGGTCAATTGATGATAGTAAATATCCTTATTCAGGGAGATACCAAAACATGACTGGACTTAAGCTGGAACAGGAAATTGAATTAGACACCAGAAGTCTTTCTACTTCAATGATGTATTATTGTGTGATTCTCTAACAGCACTTCTTGGCATTTAGGCAGCAATGTGCAAATACACTGATCACTCTGAAAGTAATGCCTCCTGTTTATTTCCATGAAAACTGCAACAGGTACAAAGAGCACAATAACACTATTTGATAGAGCAAATTCTCAGCTACAGAACACTTATTTTTCAACTTAGTCACCAGCATTAGCAATGCATTTTCATTACTGATGAACAAGCACCAGTGTTCTGTGCTTGTGAAAATCTGCACCAGTGGAAATGACCCATTGATTCGCAAGTGCTGTGACTGCACTGTTGCTTGGAAAATGTTGCCCACCCAGTTCATCTTTCATCAATCCAAACATATGGAAGTCAGAATGCACCGAATCCAGACTATACAGTGAGTGTAGTAAGACAGTCTGCAGTTGCCAAGATTGGCAATTTGCTCTTCAGATGGGTATGGGGCCTGTTGTTGTGTTGCAAGAGAAAGGTTGTCTTAAGTTTGAACATTCAGTTTAGTCAGTATCTCAGTGTAGCTGTCAGAGTTCATGGTTTGTCTGGGTACAGGAAAAGGATTACCCCTTTACTATCCCACAGGACAATGCACATCACTTCACCTGCTGAGGTATACAACTGTTTTGACTCCTGCTTAGACTGGTGACACTGTGTCTCTTGACTGGTAATGATGCAATCCAGGAAACTGTCATCTTCTACCTAGTATTAGTTCAATAGCTCCTGACAAACTTGCATAGGGAAATCTTTCTTTTCCGGTGTGATCACGTGTGGAGCCCACGTGGCATAAGCTTTGCAATATTCAAATATGACTACCATTCTTTCCAATGCGTTGAAGTTGATCTGCAGTTCTATATGCAGTTTCCTGGTTGTAATGTGTCAGTTCACACAGATGAGCTGATCTAGACATTCTTCTGGTGTAACGTCTGGCCACCTGGAATTTGGCACGCAACACTCACTACCTCACTGTGTTCACATCTGCTCTTTGGTCTCTGTAAGCATTCAGCAAGTGTCATAGAATCACTAAGGTTTGAAAAGACCTCTAAGTAGATCTTACATTCCAGTCATCCACCTACCACCATTATTTCCTCATTAAGCCATATCACTTAGTTCCACGTCTAAGCATTTCTTGAACACCTCTTGGGATGGTGACTTAACCACCTCCCTGAGCAGCCCATTGCAGCACCTGGCTGCTCTTTTGGAGAAGAAATTTTTTTTAATAGCAATAGGACTAGAGTTAATGGCTTCAAGTTGTGCTGGGGAAATTCAGGTTGGATGTTAGGAAAGGTATTGGTGGTATGTGAAAGTTGGACTACATGATCTTAGAGCTCTTTTCCAACCTTGGTGATTCTATGATTCTAAATGTCCAACCTGAACCTCCCCAGTGCATCTTGAGGCCATTTCCTCTAGTTCTATTGCTAGTTATTGCGAAGAGGAAGCCAACACTTCACCACAACCTCCTTTCAGGTAGTTGTAGAAAGCATTAACATCACCCCTGAGCCTCATCCTCTCCAGACTGAACAATCCTAGTTTCCTGAGCCATTCCTCATAAGACTTGTGTTCCAAACCTCTCACCAGCACAATTCTCTGGATGCACTCCAGGGCCTTGATGTCTTTCTTTTAATGAGGGGCAGAAAACTGAATGCGGTATTTGAGGTGCAACCTCACCAAAGCTGAGTACAGGAGGATGATCACCTCTCTGCTCCTGCTGGCTACACTATTTCTGAGGCAAGTCAGGAGGCCATTGGTTGATGAATGTCAGTGGGTGTCATTTTTTCTACACAGAGGAATTCCATTCCATGCTTTGTTTTATATACACTTCCATGTCAGATGCCATTTTGTCAGACTGCCCCTCTGTCTGTTACATGGCAACAAAACGTAACAGGATGTTAGCGGGAAGGTTCAGCCTCTACTGCAATACCACCAACATCCACCTCTGACATCTTGGTCCAGCATAATAGAATAGGAGGCATTATTTTCAGAGCACCTTTTGTATTACTTAAAATCCCCTTGTCAATATCAAGGTGGATTATGAAGCCAGAAAATAACATTGTTCTGAGAATTAGTGAACAGCTTAAAAATTCTCAGTATTTCATATTAGGCTTTGTTACTAAATAATTCTTAGTAGCATAGAAGATAATTGATATGAGATCATATAGATTTTTTTAATTAATGTTAAGCTTCTGATGTGAATATGTGGCAGACAATGTTTATTTCTCATGTTATTTACTTGTTAAAGAGAAGATGGTCAGAAATGCTAGCTGTGAGTTTGTGGTCTGCAGAACAAAATCCAGACTGTCCATTGCACTTTTCTCTGGTTTTGTGTTTTGTAGCTAGCTTTAGCAGTGTCACTGTTTCAATTAAGGACATATTATTAGATTTTGATAGTAGATAATGTGAATGAGAATTAAGCATTAAATCTTGCTCATCTCCGACAGATTTTTTTGTTTAATTTACATTTGTCATGATTGTAGGTTTATAAAGCTAATCCTGACTTCATAACTGCTTTTTAAATAACATGCACTAATGAGGTTACTCATATCAAATCTCACAGTTCAAGTTATTTGTCTATTGAACCACTTGACTTTCACAGGAAAGTAAAGCGGAATGACTTTGCAGTCAATATTTAGTGCTAAACTTCAACCTAGTATGGTACATGCATTCTAGAGAGCAGTGGAAAATTTGTCAGTTGAAGGATTCCTTTAAAACAAATTTAGTACTTTTCAGTAGGCAGTGAATCTTTAAAAAGCTAGTAATGTGTGTGCATGTATATTTAGAGATCACACTGATATCACACTGGTAGTTATTTGTATCATCTGACTTTAACTAAGTCACTGGTGTCAGTAAGATTTTGCATAGGTTGTGGTTTTTTCTACATTGTCTGTTACTAACTTTTTGTTCCTTTTCTGGCTGAAAGCACACACTGCTTTCAGAAAACAGTCTTAATGCTGCAGTGTTGAAAGAGTTAATCATACAGTAATATTAATTTTAGTCATTGATGCATTTTTTTTCAGACTCCAACAGTATGTGTTTTACACACACCAGAAGTTTTATAAATATCTTGGACAGAAGTTACATGTAAAATTAAACATTAACATTTATTGACTTGAGACCACAGTGTGAAAATTACAAAACTCATGTTATTTGTTTAAATGAGAGAGCGCACAGCTTCCATCGAAAGTATCCTGTTCTAGATGAGTCAGCTGCTTCCTAAGAAGAACTCCTGTACTTATACATGTGTCTAACAAAGAACATTTCAGAACAGGTGTAACAAGGTTATTTGAACTTACTGCAAGCTATATACTTCCTGGCTTTTGAAAATATTTTCCCATTGTCAGTGTTTCTTTGTGGAGAGTTCCACTGTTTATCAGCAATATCATAATATGAGTGCAGAATGAAGGGTTGTTGAACAAAGATAACAGAAGGGAGACATTGTGATCAGGAAGTGTATGGGGAAAGTTTCATGTCTTTTTGAGGTTTTTTCTCCTTAGCACTATTAGTACAAATTCTGATGGTGTTTCACTGAAGATGTGACTGGCAAAATGATAGGGGTCACTGAACAGTTTTTTTTCTCTTGACAATGTAAGTCTTCACCTGACATATTTATATTGGTTGTTTTCACAGTTGCACAACAAGAAGCTGAACTTGTAAAGGATCTCAGCTCATCGCTTAGCACAGCTTCTCCAAGAGGCCTGCAAATTAGTAGCAGTTTTTCTGAAATACCTATGCAAAAAAGTTCAGTGATGTCTCCAGCAGATCAGTTTGCCAGTGTTGCAAGAACATCAATGCGAATGCAAAAGCTGAAACAAAAACTTGATTCTGTAATGGTAAGTCATTTTTTTCTAATGCAGAAGTATGCATTTTTCTCGAAGTTCATATTCTTAACTTATGTAGCAAAACATATGTGTATAGTCTTGAGATCTCTTCAGAAATGAATACATATTTCTGTAATGTTGTTGCACCTCTGACTAACTCTTTAGAAGAGATCACATAAAGCTTAATTCTTGTTGTGTTTTTTTTTTTTATCAATTACTAGTGGTTAGGAATGGATTTTTTCAACACCCATTGCCGTTCACGCTATCTACTCTCTGGATCACTGTAGCTAAACTTTAGGAAGGTTGTTGGTTGTTGTTTCTTTTCATCTATTCACCTATAGAACTATGTTTGGCCTAAGAAACAGCAGTTTCATGTCAGGGGACTGACTGTGTAGGGCTCAACTGTGTGGGATGAATTGCCTTCTGTTGGGTGCAGCCATTTCCAGTAAGCTCCGCAAAAGCAGTTTGGACCCACTTCACGATGAAACTGGAAATGATCAGAAAAGCATATGGTACCTCTAGAAAACCATTAAGGAAAAATATAGCTGCAAGGGGCAGGAGGCACCAGCAGAAGGTGCAAAGGGAAGCACATGAGGAGGCATATTTGGAAATAAAGAAGAAAGGATTTGAGGAAGAAACATAGAACCATGCACAAGTAGAGCTACAGGATAAGATAATGGAAAAAGCACAAAGAGAAGCACAAGAGAAGGTGTGTGAGGACACAAGAGAAAAGATAGGAGTATGTACGTCCCTGAAAGAACTGCAACCCGTGAGAAATCCCTGCTGGAGCAGGTACAACTCCTGAGGGGACTTTGGCCTGTAGAGGACCCACACCAGAGCTATTAAAAAGGGTAAGAAACAGTGACAGACCAAGAAATACTGCTAGTCACTAACCCATCTCCTGCACTATGCATTGCTTTACCAAAGGGACTAAGTGTAACACAGCGTTAAAATAAGGCAGCTAGAGACTACAAAAAGGGAAGAAGAGATGTTTCAAATGAAGTCGAGGCAGATAAAGAGGAAGGAGAGATGTTTTCTTTTAGTGTTTTTTTTACTGCCTCGGTAGTTTCTCAGTATCTGAATTGGTAATTAAAAGCTTTTGTAATTGACAATAAATTTAAGTAAGCAAATTCACCAACTTGAGGCTACCTCACGTTTGACAAGAAGGCAAAATATTTCAAGACTGTGCAGTTATAATTAATATTCACAATTACATGAACTGCATTTGGGTTTCCATGTATTATTTTTCACTTTAAGTACTTTTGAGTGCATGTTGATTTTTACGTAGCCTTGGGCTTTGTCTGCATTAATAATAGTGGTCATTAGATTAAGGTACTTGCTACTGAGGACCCTGTAGCTATTCTCATCAAATTTCAGAGGTTTTCATTAGAATTATATGTAGTCTGGTTCTCTGGCCTATACATCCCCATTATGCTTGTGTTTTGAAACTATCCAAAGGAAAGCTATCTCAGCCCTGTGATTTCTGGACTGCAATCTCTTAGTGGACCTCATTATAAAATGCCGTAATAGAGCATGGCTAGTGGTAGCATGTGACTGCTATCCGTACATCTGGCCACACATAAGTAAGCAAGTCTTGTTTATGTTTTGCCTATTTTGTTCTTCCTCTACAAGTGAGCCCTAGTGCCTTGAAGTTTATTATGGGAAATGAGAGACATAGTATGAAGATAATCAAGCGTCTAATTTTGCATTTGGGGAAAGTTCTTTAGAAAGACTTTCAAGGAGAAAAGATTCTTGCTCTTCTGCATGTCTTCATCTGAGGAAGTAGATGGGGATAATAAATTTCTTGGAGTTTTTTTGTTGTTGTTGCAGCAGTTTGATCCAAGAATTCTGGGTTCTCAGAGACAAATCTGTTTTAGTAGAGTCATGTGATAGACTACAGAATGATGATTGTGAGCTTTTAGTATCGATTTCTGTAAAGTACACTGAGATCTTCTGTCAAGAATTTTGCACTATGTGTTTCCTGTAGTTAGATGAAACGGTGTAAGCTTACTGTGTGTTTAAGAGGATGACTTTCAGCCACTGTCGTAATCCTAACCTGCCATTTATAAATGACAGACCAGTTCAAGATGAACAAGTCCACTGTTAGCAGAATTGTGACCAAAGTCTTGGACAGCATCCTCCAAGCCCTCTGCTCGTGGACCATATATTAGGGAAATTTTAGAAAGGTCATCTGAGCCCTTTCACTGCATGGGTTTCTAAACAGTGCAGGATGGCATTTGAAAAAGTCTACATCCAGTCTGACGTCTGTCCCAGAGCAATGTTGTTTACTGGAACTTGGAGACCTTCCTTGCAGAGATTTATGAACAACTGAGGTCTTGGGTAGAAATTTCTTTTCATCTGAAGGACTTGTGATGCTTATATTTTCAGCAGTCTATCAGGAGAACCAGTAGGGACCTCGTTTGCAGTGAGAAAAAGGACATTTATTGTATGCAGCTGCAGTATCTGTCAGCCTTATTAGGAATCTGATATCTGCTAGGGTGAGTAAGGAAGTTCCACTTGTGCAAAAGTAGAACCTGGATACTTGCAGCACTTTATTCTTTCAACATAATGATTGTCTAAGTCTTCCATTAGATAGAAACAGTGGACTACTGATTTGATAAGTGATAACCTTTGTGATTTATCAGCAATAGCAGTAATATTGCAAATTTTTCCTGACTTATTTCTACAATTTGATTTCATCAAACTCACCACCCAGCACCTCAGTGTGCTCACACCCACTGTTTGGTCTCCATAAAAATTCAGCATCAGTGAATGTTAATGGGTGCAATTTTTTCTGCATGGAGGAATTCAGTAACACAACACATGTTTGCTTCATGTACACTTCCATGCCAGATAAAATTTTGTCAGACTGCCCCTCTGCTGCCATCTGTCACACAGCAACAACATGTAACAGAATATTGGTGGGAAGGTTCAAACTCTGCTGTCATACTACAAACCCCCACCTTTGATGTCATGGGCCAGTGCAACAAAATAGGTGGCATTGATTTTGGAGCAGCACTTGTATTACGTATTTCTGCCTTGGGGAATTAATGCTAAGGTTCATTTATGTTCTCAGAAGTTTTTGATAGAAAAACAATCCATCTTCAGACATAGAAGGATCACTTAAATGCTTTTCTTTCAGTGTTTATGTACTTAAAATTTCACTCCCGCCTATCAAACAAAATATGTGTTTCTATCTTTTCATAATGAGGGTAATATATGATATGTAAATATGGAGAGAAGTGCTTCTTGTAGAGGTATCCTAGCTGTGATTTTTTTGTTTGTTTGTTTGTTTTCGAGGGGTCAAAAATTCCTTGCAATAACTTGAAAGAGAAAACTTGAAAGAGAAAAAAAATCTTAACAACAGCATCTGTTTATACTCTGTAGTATTAATCCTGGAATCAATTATATGTTGTCTGCCTCATCTCTTAGTACGTGAATGATTCTAAATTAAGGATGCTTGGATTTTCCAATCATCTTCATGGCATATTTCTGTGTAAAAAATACTGTGAAAATGTTATAGAAGTGATTGCCAAAATTGTGTTACTCAGATTTTTCAGTGCAATATGTGGAATTCTTTCCTATACACAGAACTACCAATAATTGTTTAGTGGTTTTTTTTTTTAGTTCTTTGACCATATCACTTCACCCGAATTCATTGAGGGAGTAGGTACTGGGAGAACATCCAGAAGTATTCTACCTAAGATTACGTTTAATATATAGAACTTTGATGATTAAGCTGTATGACTGTATTTTGATATCTGATACTTCTGGTATGTACTGTTTCTTTCCATGACTTTCACTTTATATAAAAAGTATGTCAGGCATGAGAAATGTATTGCAGTCATTTTCTAGCATAAATCTATAGCCATTGTAACTATTTTTTATCTGAGGATGAATTAAGATGATGATAAGCATTTTAATGTTGTGGATTTTACTGATTGATCCCTTAATTTTATTTATTAAAATTAGTGTTCTTGCCATTAAAGTTTATGTAATATTAAAAAAATGTCACTCACTGTTTGTTTTCTCCCTGCTGAACAAAGATGACAGGGATATCTGAGCAATGTTTTTTTTTTGTTCAAATCATATATAGAGCAGAGAAAGCTTGGCTCACTCATACTGGTAAAAGAGAACAGATTATATCTGCTTGTGCAAACTGCCTCCAAATCACCAAAGTGTGGAGAAAGCAGCTTTTATTAACAAGGACATTTTATGCAAGAAAAGACAATAAATGTACAATGATTCAATTCACTTTCCTTCAACGTGTTGGGTACAGGAGGAACACAGTTTGTGGCTCAAATACTGAAATACTGTAAACCAAGAGGAGTGTGGATGCCCCTTCCTTGGAGATGTTTAAGGCCTAGTTGGATGGGGCCCTGGGCAGTCTGATCTAGTACTTGATCTAGTGGCTGACAACCCTGCCAGTGGCAGGGGGATTGGAACTTGGTGATCCTTGAGGTCCCTTCCAACCCAGGCCATTCTATGCTGATTCTGTGATATGTAAGAATAAACCTTAATGGATTTTTAATAAGGTTTTGCAAATTCCTTTTATTTTTCTGTTAACTGGAGTAAGCAATTTCTTTCTTATTCAAACAAAAAGAGATTAACTATGGATTTACATTCAAAAGTGCTGCTTTATTATGAGGAAATTGTCAGGGTTTTTTGTTTTTGGTTTTTTTTTTTTGCTTTCTCTAAATGTGCATTACAGTTAATCTCTGGAGTAAGCAAATGAAGACTAGTCAACATAAATTAGACTACAATTTTTGTTTATGTGCTTCATTTTAGAAGCAACGTAATGAAATGCAAACTGGTTTCTAGAAATTCACTTTTTTGTGGTCTAGAATAATTAGGATGATAATAAAGTTTTCACCAGGGGAAAAAAAAAACAAAAACACCTTTTGGACATCTCTGGAAAAGCAAAGAAATCAGAAGTTCTACCTAGAAAAAATTTATATGTGGTAGGAAAAAACCTAGAGTCTAAGCAAATGCTTTGGTAACAGTGAATTAACGCTGGGAAGGAGTTTACAAATGTCTGAGTATTTACAGAGTTACCTAAATCTGCATGCTGTGTTTAGGATTATGTCCTAATGGCTTTTACCATCAAATGGAGAGGAATTGGTTTCTATACATATTTAAGCATCTGTGAGTCAAAGAGTTGTCTGTTTTCTTTAGAAGGAGGAGACATAAAAATCTTTGGGTCCATTTTGAATGACGTGCAAGTTACATCTATTTTCATTTCCATGCAAAGGTTATTTGTTTTCTTTAACTAGTAAAGAAAAGTCATGGATTTTTTTTTGTCCCATCGTATTTTTGATAGCAGGAATCAAAACCAACCTTGATGGAGTCCACAGTTTATGTATAGCCTACTGGGTTTTACTGTGCTAAGATCTAGTTTTTACTACTTCTGGTGATACCATTGGCCAGTTCTGCTATCGTATGTATTTCCATGCATGTTTGTATGCTGAAGAAATACCAGTTTTCTCCAGACCAGGAAAGATCATACTGTGAGTATGACTGCGTGAAGCTGCATAGCATAGCCTAGAATTAACTGTGTTGTACCTTGAACAAAGAATTTGGTTTTCTTTGTGGCTAAAAGAAAGAAGCTTAATACTTTTAATTCTTAACAACAACAACAAAATCTTAAAAAGGAAGAAAGGTTTTGCGGTAAGCCTGTCATTGAAATGCAGGAACTCTGTGGCGTTACTGAGCAGTGGAATATATATAATTGCTGTGAGCTGAGACACATCTGCTACAGACAATGGCTTTGTCTGTACTGAACAAAACTGAAAGAGTAAGAGGTGGTATAGAGCTGGCCAAATTGATTTGACTTGCGAGGAAGCAAGTGGAAATCTTGCTTTGTATTGATTAGAAAGATCATAAAGTTGCATTCCTATGAAAAAAAAAAAAAAGAGTCCTTGTCAGCATGTGAAGTTTTACAGTATTCTGTTTTTCTGTCTCTCAGAATTCACTTTTAATGTAAAAACTAGTTCTACTGAAAGTGCTTATTTGCATAATTTGCATAGAGCTTCCCAAACATTAAAAAAAAAAAAAAAAAAAAAAACCAATGCAAATCAGCTTTGTTAAAACTTGGCAAAAATTATCTAGGTATCCTTTTATTGCTACAAAAACTACACAAATGTTATAACTCTTAGTTTTACTCAATTCAGGATAGTAGCAAACTGTGTCTTTGATAAAACTGCAGTTTTTGCATGAAGCAAGCAAAGTCTGTTGTGAAAAATAAGTAGATTGATGGTTGGTCATCTTAGCCAACTTTGCTCGTTGTTGTAAAGGTATTTAGCAATGTCTTCCCTCAGCATGAATTTCAAAAAAAAAAAAAAAAAAAGTGAAAAATTGCTTCACTCTACTCTGTAGCCTTCTGTGTCTGTTGTAGGAAAATTAATTAATTACTTTTTGTAAAACACCATAGTTTACCTAGAAACACCAATGTGAATCATCAGTTCTCATTTTAAAGCTGAATGACTCCTTTCTCTGTTATAATATTGTCAGCAATTTTTTTTTTTCAGGACCTTTTATGAGATTTAAGTAGCACTTGTGAGCATGGCACTGAAGTCATAAAAACTCGTATTCTGCATTTAGTTCAGATGGGCAGTCTTGTATATTTCACCTGCAGTGAACTTCCCTGCTATTAAGGGGAGGAATGCATCACTCTTGTCAGATTTCTTACATTTAAAATGGAGGTGTCCAACCTTTTGTCTCGCCTCGGCCTCCCTGAGTGAAGAGGAATTGTCCTGGGTTGCATATAAAATACATGATATAGTCAATGTATGTCATAGAAAACAAGGGCAACAAAAACATAAAATGAGGAGATCGGGCACGTATAATTTAAAACTTTGTTAAATCTCACTTTTATATAAACATAGTGTTTTCTTCCTTTTCCTCTTGCTTTTAAGGACTTGGAGGAGAATAGTAAGCTAGATCTTGTTTTGTGTTTTTAAAAAGCTGATTTTCTTAAATCTAAAGGAGCACATTCACTTCTAATGTATGTGTCTAGTGCATTTCATTTAAAAGCATATGTAATGAGTGTTTGGGCAATACAACAGGAAAATAAATAATAATAAACAGGAAAATAAAAAAATTCATTAAAATGAATTAAATGCTGCACAGGTATATTTTACGTGTGTTTTGTATCTCTCACATAATATGATTCAAGCACCACAATCAAGACAATTTTCTTTTGATTCCTTCCCCCCTCTCTGGGATGAGCCAGAGAAGCTAAGTGTTTCTAAGAGCTATTTTTAAATAGTTTGCTCTGCCTTGCTTTGTTTGATTACCAAAGGCTGATACATTTAATCTGTCTTTATTCCCTGTTGCATTGGGAACTAATTGTTTGCTGTCAGAGGAATTCCAAAAAGTTTCATGACTATTCTTAACTGGAAAATATACTTTTGTTCCATTGATGATGGAAAAAAAAACATAATGTGCGCCCATCACAGAATTCATGCAAGGAACTGATCTTCTAATTTGTCTTCCTGCAGAAATGCCCCCACTGGAGTTAACAGTCAGTAACAGGAGAGGAAATACTGGGAAACTTTGCTCCACATGTTTTCATAACAAGATTGCTTTTCTGTATTTGAGTAAAGACATAAGCTAATGGCTTTCTACTGTATTTGTGTGTATCAGAGAAAACTTTATATTAATGAAACTTAATTGCTTACGTATGTAAATTTTGCAAAAACAAGATTGGTTCTGATGTTGTTCAGAACAGTCCTTGCCATTCTACTTGCATTGCACAATTGCTGCTTATTGACATTCAGCTAAATTGACTAATACCTAAATGTGTTAATGCTTTTATATCATGTCCACTGATTGTTCTGGTTGCCCAGAGATGTGGTGGATGCCCATCCCTGAAGACTTTCAAGGCCAGCCTGGACCAGGCTCTGGGCAGCCTGATCTAACTGTGGATGTCCCTGTTCATTGCAGGAGAGTTGGAAGTAACCTTTAAAGGCCAACTCTAAGGATTCTATGAATCTTTCTGTCCAGTTTTGGTGTATAGTCCTAAGACTTATATGCAGTTGCTGAGAGGGTACAGTTTTTATCAGGTGCTTCTTTCAGTACAGTTAAATCCATTTTACTACTTAGTATCCAAATATAGTTGCATTAAGGTCTAATATAATAATGCAGAAGAGATGACAGAATCACAGAATGGCCAGGTTGGAAGGGACCTCAAGGATCATGAATCTCCAAAGCCATGCCACAGGCAGGGCCGCCAACCTCCCCGTTTAATACTAGACCAGGCTGCCCAAGGCCCCATCCAATCTGGCCTTGAACACCTCCAAGGATGGGGCATCCACAACCTCTCTGGGCAGCCTGTTCCAGCATCTCACCACTCTCTGTAAAGAATTTCCCTCTGACATTCAACCTAAATCTTTCCTCCCTCAATTTAAAACCATTTCTCCTAGTCCTACAGTTATCAGCCCTTTCAAAGAGTTGATTCCCCTCCCCTCTGTAGGCTCCCATTAGGTACTGAAAGGCTGCAGTGAGGTCACCCCGCAGCCTTTTTTTCTCCAGGCTGAACAAGCCCAGCTCCCCATCCTGTCTTTGTAGGGGAGGTGCTCCAATCCCCTGATATCTCCGTGGCTCTCCTCTGGAGTACTGTGTCCAGAAGAGATAACAGATATCCTCTGTGTTCTCAGTCAGGTTACTCAGTGTACATGATTGGAGCTGTATTACCTTCAACTCAGAACATCTGCCAAGGGCCAAATACGTGGCCACTTTTATCAAAACCCATCGAACTGTTTATGATATGACAGAAATGATACTTAGACAAACTATACCACTTTTGGAAATAAGTCTCTGACTCTCTTTGTTCTAGCTGTCTCCACTTGTTTAAATAGAATTTAAAAGCCAATAGATTGAAAATTAGAAAAACATCACTGTGATATTTTGGCCCCCAAATGAAGGTTAAGGGTCTGATTAAAGATTACTGAAGCCTAAGAAAATGCATCTCTAATAGTAGGGTTTTAGTTGCATTAAGTGACTATACTACATTGTGAAATGGGCTTGATTTTTGAAAGGGTTAGCAGTAATGGTTTATTTAATGTAAAATAACTCTCCCCAAAATTTTAGTATTCAAATATTTTAAGATCTGTTTTTCCCTCACCTTTGGCCTGTTTACCTAAGGAAGCTAGATAAAACATTTAACAAGTAGTGAAATTCTTTATTTGATTATGTGAAACCCTCTGATTGTCATATATTTTGCATAGCCTCTATGGGGTAATGTATTGAGTAAGGTTTGGGAAAGGTTTATGCATTGCGCTAGCTTCGTGTATCCCAGGAAATACCGCAGCAAATCAAATTTTAACTACATTATCTTTGTTATTATGGAAATTATGACTACATGTATTTTTTGTGTAGCTTGCTTGAAGGATGTGTCTGGTATTTTGGATAAAGTATACTCTATTGACTTGCAGAAATAAGTTTGGTGTTAGGACTGATTTAAGACTTTTTTTTTCATCTCAGACTAATATTATGTAATCTCGTCTTAGATGTTGCATTATTTGAGTACTGAAAAGTGAGAAGTTATTTTAAATATTGCAGTTTATAACTGTATATAAATGCCATTTAATTTTGATGTACTAAGATGCAACAAGATGATAATTCAGACTTTTTTTTACGCTTTTCACTACTTGAGAATTTTTGTCTCCAAAAAAGTGCGATTTGTTTTGCGTATTTGTCAATACTTTTTCCATAACTAAATGTTCAAAAAACCTACCCATAGAAATTGCTATTTGCCATCTGCTTGTCTTGTATTTTTTCCTATATTTTAATAATTCTTTAAAGTGAGTAATTGTTTCTCTACATGATATTGCATCAGGTAACCCAGGAAATTACACGTTGGTTTCTGATTTGTCTTTCCTATTACAGACAAGCTCAAATCTCTTGCTTCCTGCTACATCATCACTGTCACCGCACTCCAAACTAAGACTGCCAAACACTTTGAGCGCTCCATTGAATCCTCTGTATTCTTTCTCAGGTAAAAGCGGTAAGTTTCTTTCTTTATATTATTACTCTCTAGCAAATATGCCAAAACTTCCGTGATGTTTTTTTTCTATCTTTATAAATTTTGCTTTGTAGCTCTTCCAGGGAGTGGCTAGTTTGTTAAATGCGATTATCACATTCCACCTGTGAAGGGAGAGATATGTGACCAGATTTGTAAATCCCTTCAGTTAGATTAAGGTGAAAAGCACTTGGAGTCCAAACACAATCATCAATTTTAATGAGAATTTCTACAGTGCAATTACCTTAAAAGTATTGGCACTCTTACAGTTGTATTTATCTAAGCTTTGCAGCTAACCTATGCAACTTGATAGAGCCTTGTGTTACTTAGCAGCTTTATTAGACTGGGAAAAAACAGGAGAAAGAGAGAAAGAGATGGACTGAGTAGGTGATCCCTGGCCAGGTACCAGCATTTACCTAGCTAGTGGTGATCCTCTGTCTGTGAGAATGCTCATCCAGAAGTCTCACCTTTTCTTGGGAATTCTTGTATGCCTGCTAGTTTTTGGGGTCCACAATTATTATCAGTTAGTCACTCTGTCCTCCTTGAACGTGGGAATTTGGGCCAGAATGAGACCATTGTATCTCCAAGTGCTCCTTCCTCCAACCACATCCGTGAGCTGTTTGTCCATTGTCATGGCGATGGTTTTATCTCGCACGTATTTGAGACAATTCCAGGCATACCACAGACAGAGTTTCTTGTAGATCTGCTACAGTGATATTGTATTTTTCTTTAAGTTGTATATCTATTTATTAGTGCTGTAAGTTGCTAGAACAGCGTGTGATTGCCAGCTTTTCTTAATTTAACATTGTGTTTAATGTATCTTGAACACAGGAACTGCAAAACAGTGAAATCATATATTTAAAATCTTACATATTAATGTAGGAAACCAGCAATGAGAAAAGTAGTTTATTTAGGAGCAGTACTGCTCAGTAGTCTGTTTGCACTTGGATTTTGTCTACATTTAAGAGATGTTTTTTTATGTTGTTTTTTTTTTTTTCTAAAACATCTCGTGTTCAAAGACTTTGAGAAAAATATGTGCAATGAACCTGTGTGTTTTTGCGGTGCTGATTTACCACAGTGGAATCTTAGTTTCCAAGCGTTTCTGGTTTTGTATCTTTGAGAAAAGTAAAAAGAAGTCTGTGAAATGGTGACCTGGAGAAAGGTAACAGATTTAAAATGTTGATTGTAGAGAAGGCAGTGGTATCTATAATTATACAGAATTATCTCCTAAAGGGAGATCATTTTCTTTGCGAATCATGTTTGGACTACATGATGTATTTAGTAAGAATGAGTTCTTAGCATGTAGCAGAAGATGAACCAATCTTGCAGTCACTTTTATCTTCAGCACAAATGGTTAACTACCAAATAAGTTCTTCTTTTGTTTTTCTATTTTAAGAAAAGAGCTGTTAGAGCCGTAATAATATCCTTGTATTTCCGAGCAAGTGTGTATTGTTTCTAGCACATGAAAATCTTACAGAAAGAGGATACATATTCTGTCTTGTGCTTATTCTGTTGTTACTTGTTAAAATAAGTGGTTACAGTTAAGTGGGCTAGTCCTCTAAAGGACTTGAACATATACTTTGTTTCAAACATGTATATGTAATATTGCACAAAGCAGCTCTCTTGGAGCTCGCAGAAGAGCAAACGTGTTGATGGAGAATTCTTAAATAGCATGCTCAAACAGATACGTGCTGAGATGTTTGTGTGCTTCCAATGTAGTTGCAGAAAATGACTAATATCGCAACAAAATCCTCAGATACAGAGTGTTAATTATGGAGTAGAAGTATAATAAAAAGAAATACATTTTAATGGGCTTTCTTCAGTCAGTGAAGGCAGTAAGAAAATCAAGTTTTCTAAGGGAAAAAGACCATGAAAAATTCAGTGGCACATGAATGAAATAGATTTCCTGTAGGAAAATTTGAACAAATCCTAAATGACTTTTATCTGTCATTTTGGAGACTTACAAGTTCTACTGATGTGACAGAATTGTCATCTTTGAAATGCAGGAGTAAGCTCTACTCACCTAGTTAGTCTTTCCCCATTTGTTATTTAATGTGCTTTTAGCTATGAACTACTAGTTTAATTTCACTTTTGGACATGATACAGTATATACTAAACCAGATCTACTTATTTGTAGAATGTGCTTGAAGAAGAAAACCTTTTCTTTTCTTTTTTAAATGTACATATGCACTATTTCCGTATCGTAAAATAATATGGCATCATTAATTGCCTGTAATATAGGAACCACTCAATTTTATTTAATGCATGTTAGCCTCTTCCTGAGGGTTATGCTGGCTGTTACTCTCTCCTCCTCACATTTTCCTGTCACCTTTTTGCTGTGTATGTAATGCATCTCCAAACTTGCAGAATGCCCATTGCAGCGGAATCCATTAACTCTGTACCTGCTATATGTTCTTGTTCTATTAACATTGCTGTTACATCTTGAGATATGGACAGTATGGTAGCCTAGGTACATGCAGCATTTTATTATTTTAACATAACAAGTGTCTAGGTCTTCTGTTAGGTAGAAACAGTGGAAGAACTGATTATTTAACTTTGTGACTACCAGCAATAGCAGTAATACTGGAAATCTCTACTGACTTTTAAATCTTGTTATATCCAGGGAAGGCCAACCCCTGCTTCTCCGTCAGGCAGTTGTACAGAGCAATAAGGCTGCCTCTGAGCCTTCTCCAGACTAAGTAATCCTAGTCCCCTCAGCCACTCCCCGTAAGACTTGTGCACCAGACCGTTCACCAGCTGTGTTGGCTTTCTTTGGACATGCTCCAGTGCCTTAATGTTTTCCCTATAGTGAAGGGCTAAAAACTGAACGTAACACTTGAGATTCAGCATCATCACCAGTGCCAAGTACAGAAGCAGAAGATGTTGGAAAAGCCACTACAGGGATCATTGTCTTGTGGCAGCCAAGCATTCATAGTGACATGACTTTTTGATCCTTCAATTTCAGTTCTTCCTATTATTGTGAAGCAAAATTCACCAAGCATTGTCCTGTTCATCCATTAATAGGGAAAGTGAGACTGGTTAATTTTGATAAAACAAGTTGAAAGTTGCAAAAGCACTAGCTTTCAATTGTCAGTTTACTGATGTTAAAATCTTCAATGTTTTTGTTTGCCTTGCCTCCTTAATATTTTAAGCATTTTTGGATAGTGAAGATACTCTCCTACACACAAAGACATGGTTTTGTAGATGTTGTACCGTGAGAAACTGGCTTACATTTTATGGCTGTATTCAGCAGTGTCTCTTCAATAACTCTCACTGTGTTCAGAGCCTGTTTTCTGAAATAAATTCAGTGTTATAAGTAATTATAATAAGAGGTGACCCTAATCGTTAACTATGTGTGAGACTGAAACTCAACTATAAGTATTGCATAGATCCTTTCACTAAAAACTTGACTTCAAAAACCAGTTAATTAAACTTACTTTTAAAAATTAATTACATTATGTGCTAGAAACGTGATGGTTCTTGTATCTTGAAAAAATCTCAAAAACAAAAAAATGCTTTGGCAAGGTTGAGAATAATTAGAAATTTTCCTCCATTAACACAACTGACAGTCAAAGGTGTTTTCCACCTATATAAAGCAAGAGCTTCAGAGTGGTCTTGCTCATTCTCTGAAGTTGTAAGCAACTAACAAGTTGTAACTAACTTGTAAGCAAAAACACTTTGTGTTTAAGTCCTCCGTTGTATTTGATAGACTGTTCAATATTCGTCTTTTCAATCGTAACTGGGCAGTAAATTTCTGTTTTGGACATGAAAAAATATTTTTGCGTTGACTAAAGACTTTTAAAATTCACTTTTGTAGAAGTAGATTTTAAATCAAGTACATCACGTAACAAAATTCACATTTTTGTGGAGTCACTGAAGTGTCAAAAGTTATATCTTTACAGATATGTTAGTATCACACCTTTTTTTTTTTATTTTATTTTAATGTTTTACATTTCTTTCTCAATGCTATAACATCTGTCCAAGGAGGTTGTGGATGCCCCATCCCTGGTGACATTCAAGGCCAGGCTGGATGTGGCTCTGGGCAGCCTGGTCTGGTGGTTGGTGACCCTGCACACATAGAAGGGGGGTTGAAACTCTATGATCTTTGTGGTCCTTTTCAACCCAGGCCATTCTATGATTCATTGCTACCATTACAATGCCTGGAGACTCTCATGATTTATTGGTTTTTTGGCAAATATTTTCCTTACTTAAAACATAATTCTGTGAAGCAAGGATGTGTATAGAAAGCAGATTCAGTATGGCCTTATTCTTTGCAACTCTGAGGAAGAAACTACAGACTTATGGAAACTATCATTAAAAATGTATCAAATGAACAATTAATTCAGTTTTACTATTAGAGTAGCTTACTTCACTAATGTGAAAATAAACGACAGTACATTAACTTGAAGAGACTGAAGAGATATTAAAGAGGTGACAGAATGCATATGAATTGAAGAGTATATGTATGCTGTGTTGTCCCAGTACAACATGCAGTGCAATATTTGTAGTGTATCTCTGATGTTTGAACAGAGTTTGGTGGCATTTTCAAAGAGAACAGAAAGTGCTGGTTAACAGACTGAAGATGACTAAGAGAAAGCATGCAGTACAGCCAGTAGCAAGCACTGCAGGCTTTCCCACACTGCTGTACAGAAGTTATATAATGCCAACCCTGAAGGACTGTTTCTGTTTAGTGGGAGTGCCAGTACAAGTGCCATTTAAGAGGGGTCTATTTACATTCATGCAAGCAAACTGAATGGCATGGGCATCACTGAATGCCTTTTATATATATCTCTCTCTCTTAGCATTACTGTAAGTACTGTACTTTAACAGATTTTATATTAGAAATGAAATCTCTGTTTTTTGTTTTTTTTAAGAAATAATTTAAGTGTGTATAAAAGACTTACTATGAAGAAGATGAAGTTAAAAAAAGAAATCAATTTTGTCTTGAAAAATCTGGGCGGATGCAGTCCCTGTTAAACTTCAGT